TTATTTTTCCAGAAATATGTAATTAATTACAAATCTATAATTTTCTAAATTACTAATGTCATTTTTTAAATATAAAATAATTGCTTAAAAGAAACTATTATACATCTTACATAAGCAACTGGCTAAACCAGTCTTAATAATAAAACAATCGTCTTGAATACTATGGAAATATGGAAAGTAAAAGTATACAAAGTCATGAAAATGACTCATGGGGCATTTCAAATAACCAACCCTTGGATCTAATACAAAAAGACCTTTATTTATGAAAATACATATGTGTATATGTATGTACATATGTATATATGAGCATGGGGTCAAATTTCCAATGAATAAAGTTAGGGGTTCAGAAAAAAAATGTTTTTTTATTATCTATTATTTATTTTCAGTATAAAAAAAGCTAAAAATATTATATTAAAGAGTTATAAAGACACTAGTAATCATAGCAAGAAAATATGTAACTAAATTTTCCTAAAACTGTTTAACATAATTTTTTCAAAATAAAAGTATTCAAGTTTCTACATTCATAGAATTAAAAAAAATTGTTTGCAAATTAAGTATATAGATATTGATATATTTAAAAAGTCAAATTATCATTTAATTTTTAGTAAGAAACTTTTTCCTTTTCAGAAGTTAAGCCGTTGCCCAGAAAAAAAATACCTCATTCTTTATACAAATTTCGTTTTCTTTATTCGGCTTTATGTTTTTTCTTGTGTTGTTCTTGTAAATGCAATTTATAGTCCTCAAACGAAATATGCCGCCAGCCTAGCCATTTTATCCTTGGGCTGCCGACCGCCGCGTCCGCCGCGCCACCCGCCACCAGGACCAGGTGCTCCGCCAGCAGCCACTGCTCCTCCAGCGACACCAGGTCCACCAATTCCTCCGCCGCCACGTCCAACTTTGCCGCCCCTGGATCCACCGCCACTGCGGACGGGTCTTGAGGCCACCGCTCGATGCTTCTCTACCAGGTGGGAGAAGTCCGTGGAGCAGAAGATGCAGCCGCTCTTCTCCTCGCTGCCGTCCTTGAACTTGCTCTTGTCGGACTTGTAAACGACGTTCACCTGTTGGGCGCCACACTCCTGGCACTTGGCCTCTGAAAAAGGAATCATTAGATACATTTATTATTAGTTTAAGGAGGTATGCTAATATGGCAATTTCAGCTGGTGAAAAACGGTGCAGCGAGAACCTATCAGAATCATTAAACACAATCAGTATTACTTTAAAATATAAAACTTTAAAGAAACCTATTCTAAACCTAGTGTACGAGCAGCTTTAAGGATAAAACCTTTCAAACTGACAACATATTTAAGTTTAGCGCTAGCCACTTCTTTTAAAGCTACTGCACCGTTTATAGAAGGGAACCCTTCACGAAATCTATTCACGATTTAACATAGTTGGTTCTAGAGACGCACCTTCCACTGTAATTTTAGTTGCGCCTTTGAAACAGTTTATGATCACGTCGCAGCGGTTGCAGCCCAGCTTCCAGGTGGGCGCCAGCGTGCAGTCGAGCACCAGGACACCAGTGGGACACTCCACGCAGCCGGAAATGCCCAGCGTGTTCAGCGAGTGCGGGCAGGTGGCGTGCGTGCAGGTGTTGCAGCCCCCCAAATGGGGCATGTCGCTAAACGGCGGATGGTTGTAGCAGTACGGGCAGAACGGATACGAGCGGCCCTTGGCGCCGGTGGAGAAGGCCAGCAGATCGAAGTCGTCCAGCGGGCACTTAAACTCCCGATACACCTTTACATTGCCAATGGGCAGCGCATACGTCTCGTCGCAATGAGAACAGTGCAACCTCGCGGGCTTCGTCTGCAATCAGAGAAAGGATTAGCCTGGAGGAAATGATGCAAAAGCATTGGAGACCCACCTGTATGTACTTCATGTACCGTCTACATTTGCCGCAGCGCGAGTGCGCCTTGCCCGACTCGGCCAGCGGTGAGAAGGAGACCTCGAACAGTGCGTCCATGTTTGCGATGTTCTTCACAAAGTACATGAACTTCAGCTTAAAGATCTGGATGGCGTGGCGCAGCACATCCTGAAAGTCAGCCGAGCCCTGTGCAATCAGCGTTAGCATGCGCTCCACCTCCGTTCGCATGGTGGGCAGCACCAGTTCCGGATCGATCTTCTGATAGCCATGGACCAGCACAATGCCCAGGGTTGTAGGTATCAGCTTGCGTCCGTTCTCAATGTGCACATAGTTGCGCTGGCAAATGTTGTTGATGTGCACCGGTATGGAAGCATCCGTGCCAATGCCATGCTGCTCCATCAGCGTGATCAACTCCGATTCGGTGAGGTAGTCGGGCGGCCCCGTCTGACTTTCGGCCAGTCGCACATCATTGATGGCCACCTGGGTGCCCTGGACAAAGGGCGGCATCGGCTCATCCCGCCCAAAGGCCTGCCAGGTCATCACCTTGGTGAAACCGGCATCCAGCAGCACATTGGCCGTACAGCTAAATGTTTCCAGGCCCACGCGCAGCTTGGCCGTCGTCACGCGATACTTCAGATCCCTTGACACGGTGCCTATAAAGTGCCGGCAGATGAACTCGTATACGCGCCATGTGTCGCGATCAAATTCACCGCGATTGCCCAGCTTCATGGGCGTAATCGGTGGATGGTCGCCAGCATCCTTGCCCTTCCTTGGCGTCTGAAGATCGCCCAGGGTAGTGCGCGCCTCTTCGCCGAAATCTCCCGATGGTTTCAGCACATGCAGCACGGCCGGCAGATCGAAATTAGTCGGATACTGATTGGTCTCCGTTCGCGGATAGCTGATGTAGCCCTGTGTGTACAGCCGCTCCGCAATCTGCATCGCCTGGAACGGCCCGATGCCTAGGCCGGAGCTGCAGATCCGCATCAGCTCGACGGTGTTAAGCGCTTGTGGTTTGCTCTTGAAAGCCTCCTTGCTGCCCACGCTCTCCACGCTAAATGGAGGAAGAAAGGGATCATTGATAGGTAATACTAGGTGGAAGAAATGAGTAGTTATAGTTGATACTTTTAACTTATCTAAGCCTATGTTTAAATACCCTTGCAATTAGGATTGTTCGGTCAAGAATAGCACTACAAAATACCCTTATTGTTCCTTTAACATCTCTAGGATATAGTTCTCCGACACGCGTTATCTTTAAACTTTATCTGTGTGCACTAAAACCAAGGAAACTTAAATGTTAGTAATTTTTAAACATACAAAAAAAGGTGTGTAGAAACCAACGGACAATCGACTGGTTTGAAGATGCTAATCAGGCATATAATGGATGTATTTTTAGTATGGGTATAAAATGGCGAAAAGCTCAACTATTCTCCTGATAAAGTGACAAACTTGGCCGAACAAATGGAATTGCTAGCGATTGACAGTACCCTTGCTGGGCGACATTCTTACGTGGCCTCCTTGTGCTCCTTGGTGCGATTCAGCAGCATGATGGCGATGTCCTTCTTGAAGACCCGGCCGCGCGCCCACTCGAGCGTGAATTCCGGCTGGCCGGCGAGCAGCTGCAGGTACCAGAAGCTCTCCGGCTTAAAGGTCTGGATGTCGTCATGCCGCTTTACGCAGAAACCGAGCGTGGGCGTCTGGCAGGGACCGTAGGAGATGAGCGAAGAGTCCAGGTCACCGTAGCGATCCTGGAAAAACTTCGTTTGAAAGCGCGTGAAGGCGCAGCCAATGCGCAGATCCAACTCCTGGCGTGCGTCCACCGACTTGGCCTCGTTCTCGTTGGGATGCCCCAGCGTCTCCATCGCTCCTTTGATATCCTTGTCCGTGATGGCCGAGAAGTGGGCACGGTACGTCACCTGCTTGCTGTACACATTGTGGATGACATGCTGCACGGCGTCCATCACTTCGAAGCATATGTTCTCGCCCTCCTTGTCGCAATCCAGCCACAGAACCAGATAGTCGCAACCGCGTGCCTCGTTCGCCAAAAAGGTGCGCATGTGCTGCTTGGGATTCGTCTCCTTCTTCTCGGTGGGACAGCCGAAGAGTTCCACGGGATCCACTTTATGCCAGTTGTTGTACTTGCTGATAAAGTCCAGTGACATCACATGTCCGCAAACGGAGGTCATCCGAAAGTGGACACTGCCCTCGTTCCGGAAGTTGCCCGTCCACTCGTGCGTGGAGCAGCCGTTGCCGGTGCCTGGAGTGGATCGGGTTGGGATTATCATAGTTTGTTTTTAGTGATTTTCATTGAACTCACCTCTTTTGGCCGTACACCGCCCGTTGGAGAGAATCCCCGCCAGCGATGCCGCTAGCGAGGGCTTCTCAGCCACCATCAGCACACTCTTCATGGCTCCAAATACAAATAATGGCCTGTATAATTGATGACTTATTCGATGCGGATGCGGTTTCTGCCCACTCGTTCAATCTCATGGGATTCGCTCGCTGGGAGCTGCGCCTCGCCGGTTTCGGGTTCGTCGGTTCAGCGGGGGGCTCTACACCTGTCAATCGGTCCAGTTTTGTATATATATAGTGTCTATATAGCTTAATTTTGAGTTGGTTACCTTAAGTTTTTGGGACTAAAAAAAAACGATTAAATTAGTGGGCTCGCAGCTTTTGCAGGCTGGCATACCAAAACGCTTTACAAATGAAGTTGATCTAAACTGGTATTTATTACCCCGCGACAGCTGGGCACACTGTCATGGCGGGAAATCTGGTTGATACGTTAACATTGATTAAAAGTGGACCTCTATTATGGTTTTCCCAAAACCAGAGAGCTCAACAAATTTTTTTTTTTATTAGCGAAGTTTATCTGAGAAAATTATGCTGCCAAATCTTTCCGGAAGTTCCTTCTTCTATATAAAACCCAAAAGCAATTAATAAGCACATATCTATAATATTTCAATATGTCATCAATTTTGAAGAAGAGGTATAAACTCATGCAATTTCATGAAGGTCAAAATAAGGCTACATTTGATACCCTATAAATGGTATATAATTTGTTGGTATTTATTTGGTTTTTTCCCCAAACCGAAAGCATTATTTTGGCGCCTCCGCCTGGCCACTCACACTCTCATTCGTTTTCCAACACTAGCGGACGTGCACGGAGTTTTTTGATGGCAACGATTTTCTTCACGGAACCCGAACTGGTGGTCGGCCATGGCCGGAGGGTGCTGTTCGTGAACCCCGAAGACATGCAGATATTCAAGGAGATCGAGCTTCCGCCCGACCTTGGCCTAAAAACCCAAGCCCCATCCTCCACCATCGAGCAGGGATCCGGATCCTGTCCAGCGGGCAAGGAGCAACAGCTTGCTGCTGGTGGCGCCAAGCAGCCAGAAGCAACAGCCTCCGGGTCAGCAGCCACCAAAGTGGAGGCACCCATCTCGGTGCAGAATGTCGCCTACTCTCCAGATGGACAGCTGCTGGCCGTGACCACCAGTGGGGGTCAGAAGGCGCTCCTGCTGTACCGCTCGTGGCCGGAAAACGCGCGCCTGCTCTCATCCCGGCCACTCGCCCGGGCGGCCAGTGCCCTTCGATTCTGCAGCGACAGCAGCTCCGTTCTGGTCACGGATAAAACGGGCGATTGCTATCAGTACGACTGCGTCGAGCTGGAGGCCACTCCACGCCTGCTGCTCGGCCATCTGAGCGTGGTGTACGACATCCTGTGGTCGGAGGACCAGCAGCACATCATTACCTGCGATCGGGATGACAAGATTCGCGTCACTAACTATCCCGCCACCTTCGACATTCACAGCTATTGTTTGGGCCACCGGGAGTTTGTGTCAGGATTGGCTCTCCTCACAGATCAGCACATTGCCTCCGCCTCGGGGGATAAGACGCTGCGCGTTTGGAACTACATCCAGGGCAAGGAGCTGCTGCTGCACGAGCTCCCAGCTCCAGCGGTTCGGCTTTTGGTGCGACAACTGGAGCCGGAGAAGGTCTTCCAAGCGGCCGTGCTCTTCTATGGTAATGTGGATGCCCTGGGACTGTATCGCTTAGAGCGTAGCCCAGACGAATCCTGGAGCGTTACGGCCACGCAACTGGTGCGAGCCGAGGCTGGCTCGTGGAGCATAAGCAACTTTACTTTAACCGCCGATAGGATTTACATCACCGGCGCCGAGAACGAGCGATTGAGCCTGAGGGTCTACGACATAGCCACCGGTCAGCGGACGACTAGCGGAGTGCCCGAGGGCTGGGTAAAGATGGTGCTGGATGGACTGGGCGCCTCCGAAGAGGACGCTCCACCCTTCGTTCCCGAGGACCTCTCTGTTTGGTTCAAGAAGCGCTTTGACAACGTCAGTGATTATCTGGAACGCAAGAAGCGGCGCATCGAGGAGCAGCAGCAGCAAAAGTGCGGCTAATCCGGAGATGAAATCCCCTAAAGAAAATTACATAAACCTTAATCTTTACATAGCATTTAATTAGCATATGGAGAAGAAGCAACGGACTATGTGTGACAGGCCTGTTGGTTGGACATAATATATATATCTGTATATGTGTGTAGATGAAAAATGGTTAACTCTATGGGGTGGGATTGTGGTTCCTAGACGGGCTTGTAGTCCAGCTTGCTTTCCAGCTTCTTGTTGTCGGACACCTTGCGCACCGCCTTCATAAAGTCCTCCTGGATGACATACTCCCGCTCGGCACTGGATTGGATTCAATTTTTATTAGAGACCATAACGGAAGACAAGAGAAGACATCAACACTCACCGGATGGCAAAGAGACCCGCCTCTGTGCACACATTACGCAGATCCGCGCCGTTGAAGTTGTCCGACAGCTTCACAATGGCCTCGTAGTCGATCTCGCCGTGCTTGGCAATTATCAGAGCGTGGATCTTGAGGATCTCCAACCTAAAATGTTATAAATGGCTGTGTTAGTAATTATGCATAAGAATTTCCTAAGCAGCTGAAAATAAGAATATTGAGAAGTTTACCGAATTCTAATAAAGCGCAAATTATTTTCTTCAACATATCGATGTTTTGAATTTCTAAAGTATAATATATAATTTGTATCATTATGACTAGCTAATAAGATTGAAATTGTACCGAAATAGCCATTATCATTAACTTGGTTTCAAGAAAATATCTTATCAAAGAAATCCCTTCAAAAATGCTTTATATTTTAGTGATTTACCAACCAAAAAGATATAAAAGATAAGACCCAAACAAAATAGCTTACCTGGCCTGCTCGTTGGGCAGTGGAATCTCGATCTTCCTGTCCAAGCGACCCGGACGCAGCAGGGCGGGATCCAGGGTGTCCGGGCGATTGGTGGCCATGATCATCTTGACCTGGCCGAGCGAATCAAATCCGTCCATCTGGTTAAGCAGTTCCATCAGCGTGCGCTGGATCTCGCGATCAGCAGAGGTACCCTCGGAGAAGCGTCGACCGCCAATGGCGTCGATCTCGTCCATGAAGATGATACAGGGCTGGTGGTCGCGGGCATAGTTGAACATCTCGCGAATGAGGCGCGCACTCTCACCGATATACTTGTCCACAATTGCCGAGGACACGACCTTGAGGAAGTTGGCGTCCAGCTGGGAGGCCACTGCACGGGCCAAGAGGGTCTTTCCTGTGCCAGGGGGTCCGTACAACAGGCAACCCTTGGGCGGCGTGATGCCGACGCGCAAAAAGAGCTCCGGATTAAGGAGCGGCAGCTCAATGACCTCGCGCAGTTCGCGGATTTGCTCAGTGAGGCCTCCAATGGCCGAGTAGGTCACATCGCCGGGATCCTCGTGCGACATGTTGTATACCAGGGGATCCACTTCGCGTGGCAAGTACCTCATGATGGTAAGCGTGGTCATGTCGAGGGCCACACGGGTTCCGGACTTCAGCTTCGCCTTGTCCAGCTGCCGGCGGCATCCGACTACATACCGGGGACCATTGGTTGCCTTCACAATGACTAGAATACAGGGGAGTAATAAGATTACAGGTATTCCTCTCCAGGAAGCCAGTGTCTCACATTTATCCTCGGTCAGCTGCTTCAGCACCTCGCCCACGATTTGTCCCACGCTCTGCAGAGCCTTCAGATCGTTCTCCGACTTGTCGTACAGCTTGGTCAGCTCCTTGATCTCCTCGCGCTCTGAAAACAACCATTTAATAAGGATGTCCTGGGGGAGATTACCGGAAGACCGTACTTTCTTTGAGACGCCCCTCGATCTCCTTGTGCTCCAGCAGCTTTTTCCGGTAGTCGGAGAAGGCTTTCACCCGCATATTGTCGGGCAACGGTGTGGCAGTCACAGTCATCTTGCTCAAGGATTAACGTTTAACTTTTAGCTAAGAAACGCTTAAATTAAATTAAATTCTGAAAAATATTTTGAGTGAGTTGCAAGTTTTGATGTTTTAGAGTGACCAGCAAGTAGTTTTAATAAAATATACCAAAATATTCAGTTCATTGTGCGATTGATTGTATTCGATAATTCCAGGGAGTGATTACCGACTACAAGTTTAGAATTGAAATGTTTTATTTAAATAACGAATATTTAAAATAAAATACAAAGCATTTAAGAATATATAATATAATATTAAAAAATATAAAAATAATCAATCTGCAAGATTTTAAAAAATTGGCAATAAACCATAAATGAAGTCCCTCGCTAACTGATGAATGTGACTGGTCACACTCCCAACCGGCAAAAATCTTATTAGAATCTGATTACCCAAACCAAAACTCCCGATTATGTATAATTTGCGATTGCTGCGAAAGGTTCTGCCGGGCGGCTGCCACTCCCACCAACGTTGCATGGCTAGCCAGCACAAACGACGCCCACAGCCCGGCGGGCTGCCTCCGGATCGGCTGGAGCAGCTGCGCAGTGATCTCTTCGAGCGTCACCAGGATCTCAGTGGCGCGGAGTGGACGGAGGTGCGTCAGTCGCTGGTGGACAGCTACAAGCACATCAACGGACACAACGTGGACGCCGTGATTCTGGGCGTCTGCAGTGGGCCTCATCAACTGTCGCTGGCCAAGAACTATGTGGAGTTCCTCCGGAGCCAAGGCTCCGCGCCCAATGCGGCTACTCTGGGTCGCCTGCTGAGGGTCTACAATGCCGCCTACCACGAACGACCGCTTAACTCGACGGAGCAGGCCGAGATCCTGGAGATCTGCCGTACACTCCAGGCGGAGCACGAAACCTTGGACGCCAATAGCTGTGAGCATGTCATCCACGGTCTGGTGGCCACCAACGACGATTGGCAGAGCGCCCTGCCGCTGCTCGAGATGATGAAGGTCACCAGCGCACCCACTGTTGCCGCTTACTCCGCACTGGCGGAGAAGTCCTTTAATGTGGAATCGCCAGAGCAAGAACTGGCCTGGCGTCTGCTGGAGGAGATGGCCGCAGCCCGGAAACCACCCAAATGCGAGGTCTACCTGGCGCTGCTCAATCGCTTGGCCAGCGAATCGGACAAATTACCTGCCCAGCTTAAGCGTCTAATGCAGTTCCTCGAGCGCCATGAGATTCTAGTCAGTCAGCGAGTGGCGGAGCGATTGCAGGAGCTTGCCCAGCAAGTGCCCCAACTCCTGGAGGTCAGTTCCACGAGCTTGGGTCCTCTGGGCAAATGTCAGGCCTGCCAGAAGCACCTTCAGCCTGTGGCCATCACCGATGAGCAGTTCCGCCAGCTCAGCGAGTGTTTCCTGGAGCGCGTGCTCATACGACGCGACGTTTTCCAGCGCTCCACGCCCGAGGAGGTGGCCAGGTTTAAGAAGTACGTGGAGAAGACGGCTCCCTATGACTGCGTGATCGATGGCCTCAATGTGGCCTACTCCACCGGTACCAAGAAGTCGCCCCAGCAGCTGGCCAAGCTGGTGGCCACCGTGGTGCGGCACTTCCGAGATCAGGATAAGCGTGTCCTGGTTCTGGGACGTGAACACATGCGCAACTGGTCCAAGCAAGCCATGCACTACGTCCAGAGCAATGCCAGCCTGTTCTTGACCAACAATTTGTAAGCAATCCGTTTGCCAAAAAGAAAGGGAGAGGTAGAATAACTGGTTTATAATTACAGGTCCCACGACGACCCCTTCCTGCTTTATGCCTCAATGCGCAGTGGTCAGGACACGGACTTCTTCTCTCGCGACCTGATGCGCAGTCACGCCTTCCATTTGGGACCCGAGCTAAAGCCCATCTTCCGCCGCTGGCAGCAGCAGCACCAGTTTTCCCTGGTCACTCAAACGCAAACGGGTCGGATTATAGTCAAGGAGCCCGTTCGCCACAGGCTGAGTGCTCACGAAGTGGCGGGCACCTGGCATGTGCCCTACTGTGAGGCGTACACCCAGCATCCCACCGAGAGCTTCGAGGTGCCTGCAAACTGGCTGTGTCTCAAGCTGAAAAAGCAAACCCCCGCCAAAGTAAAGACAAAAACGTGACTGCGTGTATAAGCAATTATAGTGAGATACAATAGCCAAAGGTTAACAAATATACTGGAGGAGCCGTCCCTTCCCAATCCTAGTCGCAATCGTAGCGGGTGCACTTCTCGAATGCTCCAATGCCCTGGGCCTGGGGCTTCTTGCGACGGCGCTCGTACATCAGCTTCTTCTCGGCGGCACACATGAGCCGGCGCTTAATGTGGTTGTCCATCTCGAAGTCCATGTCGGCCGGCTTGGCCAGCTCGTTCGGATCACGGGTGGCGGCCGAGTCCAGGGCCTTGATGATCAGACTGAGCAGGGCGTGCGCCAAGCGATGACACACATCGTACTCAATGGCGTCCTGGCTGGTGTAGTAAATGGCCGACTGCGAGGTTGGCTGCACACCGATGGCCAAGAGGATGTTGCAGAAGATACCGCGCTGCATGCGCGCATACGGATCCACCAGTTGCGGCGGAATACGCATCGTGGTGGCCAGATGGGCGATGAACTTGGCGAACTTCTTGATGAGCACGTTCAGGTACTGTGTGCGGCACTGACGCTCCAGCTTGGTCAGCATGTTGTAGTACAGTTCCTGCTTGCGCTTCAGGAAGTCCTCCTTCTTCCGCTCTTTGGTCTTGTTGCACTTGAGTATATCCTCCAGCTGTCTGTTGGGAAGCAAGGCGTTGAACGGAATGGATTCCGGCTGCAACTGGTGCACTTACTCTGTAGTGATGGCATTGTATTTGCCCAGCATGCGCTTGATCCGCTTCGCGCGCATCTTGGGATTGTAGACGTCCTTGAACTGCTCGTAGTTGTCGATAAGCGTGTGCAGCTTGGGCTTGGCCAGGGCCACATCGTAGGGCTTCACCTTGGGCGGCATGGCCGGCTGGTAGGCCATGCGTCGGACGTAGGACTGCAGCTTGGCCAGGTTCTCCTCCTTCCGCTTCTTCACGTTCTCCTCGGCACACACATCCGGATCCTCCTCCTCGGGCAGCGAGTCCGTCGACGTGGGCAGCGGCTCATCCCAGTCCGAAACATTGGAGCTGGCCATGGCTGATGATTGGAGGGCAGAACGGCCCAATCAATTTGGATGGATTGAGAATTTAGCAGGGATTCTGTGTAAAAGAATGCACAAAAAATACTTTGCACCCCTTTTTTTGTACGTATAAATAGTTATGAAAAGCGAGAGCACTAACAATTTTATGTTTTCGTTGGAAAAGTATAACACCTTATGAGCAGTCCTAGCTGAAATGTGTCCGAGGAAAATCCTCCGGATGACTAGATCGGTAATTTAGCATAGAATTCTATTTAATACTTTAAAATATGAAATTGTTATTTCCTGGAACGTAGTTATTCAATTTCGATGGGTGTTTTTTCAAAAAATACATTTATTGCCTCTTTATAATTATAATACCAATTTTTTTTGTTACAATATAAATGGATATTTCTCAAAAGTTCTGAATGGATGGCTTATTGGCATAAAAACGGTTTCATAGATGTAATACAGATTAGAGTAAAATGTAACTTTTTATATAAATTTGGGGGCTCCTGCAATCCGAACTGCTTTTGTGTAAAACTCTACTACTTAATATTGGGAACAACTTAACCATAAATAAAATATGAAAGCATTGAATTAGGTCACTAAAAAAGTTTAATTTAAATATATAAAAAGGGTCTTTTCCGAGTATAAGAAAATTGCGAAAGAATTTACTTATTATTATTATTATAAATGGCTTTATAATAGCAATAAGAGTTTAATAGTTCATCCATAAAAAACAAGGAACTCCCTAAATACATAATTATTAACAAAACATTGTTAAATTTTCCTATTTGGAACATGACACACAGATTGGTAGAATATACATAGTTTAATTTAGCAAGAGCATTAGGAAATTACAGGTTTCTTGAAATACTTTTTCAGGCATTTCAGAAAATTGACCTCTCGATAGTTTACAATTAAATAAGCAACGTTTTATTATATTAACCAGTGAATGTGTGGGCTAACGCTAGTAGCACTCGTTCTGCACGGATCTCTCCAGGGCGAATGTGTACTCCTCGGCCAGTTCGTCCACGGACAATTGGCGCGTGAGCAGCGCCAGGATGCTGTCCACCTGCATCTGGGTGCTCGCGTAGCGATCCTTGGTGGCCAATCCGGGTGCCAGCTCAAAGGGAATGTCCTGCAAGTAGTTGACGGGTCCTTGGGCGCCCGCCTGCTTCACCGGACCAGATCCTGGTCCCACTAATCCTCCCCTGGGTCCTGGCATCGGCGGGTAGGGTAGATAGCCCGCCGGCATAGGCGGGTACATGGAACCGGAGGAAGCCCCCTGAGGAGCATCCGGTCCGGGTTTCCGCTCTATAAACACGAAATCATCGCCACTGGTTCCTGGTCGGGATCCATCCGCCGGCCCCTGAATGGGCTGATCGTCTGTGGGTGTTTCCGCTGGCTTGCGCTTCCCAAAAATTGAGAACATTTTACTAGTTTAATTTAATTCTATTGTTTGGTAAATTGGCGAATTGCGTCGTCGTCCAGCTGAGATGCGCGATTTCCAACGGTGCTGCTAGCTTGGCGGTTTTCCAGCTAAATTTGTCTAGTTGCATGAGTTCTTGCAAAAGTCCATAAAGGTTTATGAGACATTTTATTAGGTGAGATGTTCTTTGTTGCAGTGCTGTTCCCAGAATTACAATCTGCAATTTGAATATTTACCAATCTCTAGTTATTTAAATTGTTCAAAAAAGGTTTTTTACTTATAATTGACGTTTAAAAAGTAGCTAGATCTGGAGTGAAATGGTGTCAGCGCTGACGATCCGTTAATAGCCTATCGATAGACACCCCTTGGCGCACAGTGTGGCCAGCCGGTCGGCGGATGCGCAGGGCTGCAAACTGTCGCGCTCCTCCGTCTCCAAGTGAACTGAGTTTTGCTTGCTCCGAGATTGATTGTGTACACCGGATAAGAGGAGCCCAGGAAAAATATGTCAAAAGTGGACCAGGACCCGAACGCTTCGCTTAGCATCATGGAGGTGAGTGCGACCCCGGGTCCCCGTGCTGCTCCCGTGCAGCCCACCGTGCTCCAGTTCCAATTGGCGGGGGCTGCTCAAGATGCCACATTAACGTGTCTCCGTTTCCTTTTCGTTTTCGATTTCCTGCCCCCCGCAGCAAATCAAGCAGCTCATCCGGCCGCCGCCCAACGAGGACGAGAAGCTGGTGCAGCGGAGCACCAATACGAAGCATCCGTACTACAGGCGACCGGGAAGAGGTCACAACCACGACTATTGTGACGCCTGCGAGGAGGGCGGCAATCTGCTGTGCTGCGACCGTTGCCCCTCCAGCTTCCATCTGCAGTGCCAGTGAGTGCAGCGCCTCCCCCGCTTTCCAGTGCTCTTTTTCAAGCAGATTCTTCTTTCCGCCCCCCAGTGATCCGCCGCTGAGCGAGGAGGACATACCCAGTGGCCAGTGGCTGTGCCATAGCTGTCGCATGGCCAAGGTCTCCCAGCCGCCGGCTTCGTCCTCGAAGGCCAGCTCCGTGGAGCGGGTGCCATCGGCGGGCAGTGGCTCCAGAGCCAATACCCCCTCTTCCGGCGATCTGGAGTCCATACCGCTGAAGATCCGCAACCTTCGGAAGCGCAGCAACAGCGAACGCAACAGCACCGAGAAGCTGCTGGCCAAGATGCCGCTGGCCATACAGCGGGCACTCGATCCCAACAAGAAGCCGACGCCGCTGGACGATGTCATCAGGGCGGCGAGTATGCTGAATCCGCAGCAATTCTCGCTGCCGCCGGAACTGGAGCTACACACCCAGTTTCCGGGCAATGGCAAGGTGCAGCCCGTCCAGCAGGCGCATCCGCCGAGCGGCAATGGAGGGCATCGCAAGTGTGCGGGCAATCAGCGCCGCAATTCCAAGCCCTTCGAGCTGGACGCCCAGGGATTAGTGCCGCTGCCCGCCAAGACCTGTTTCTACTGCACGCGCTCCTGCAAAAGGGCGCCGCTCATCTCCTGCGACTACTGTCCGCTGTACTACCACCAGGATTGCCTGGATCCCCCACTAACGGCACTGCCAGCTGGATTGTGGATGTGCCCCAATCATGCCGAGAACTTCATCGTAAGTTAGCACTATATATGGAAGTTTTCGTTGGTTTAAATGTGTATGTCTCTTCAAAGGATGCCAATATGACCAATAGCATTTCTGCCACGGAGCGGGTACGCCTGTGGAATCGCTTCCACCAGCCGCTGGATCATGAAAACGTGAAGATGGAGTTCTTCCGGCGCGTCAACACTCGCCACCCGCCGTTCCGCACCAAGTTGAATGTGCGTGCCCGTGCCCACATCGAGGTGCCAGCTATTGTGCGCTACCACTACGAGCATCCTCCGGCGCTACTGCCCTCCATGCGGCAGACGCTACGCTACGATCGGGTGAAGCGGCGCAAGAACCTGCCCACCGAAGTCGAGGAGATCTCCCGCGAGTCGGTGACCGAATCGCTGCTGAAGGATCTGGAAGCACTGCGCTCGGCTCGAGCTAAATTCCGGGAGATTCAGCGGGAGTATGGCACCGTCGAGACAGCGGTGGAGGGAGATAGCGACAGCGATCCCAGTCCCGAGGAGCAGGACTCAGAGACGAACTCTCCTGGCGACAAAGTAAATGGCGGAGTTGATTCGGAAAATCCCAAAACGGAATCTGATGTGCAGACAAATGAACAGCCCTCCGTTATCAAGGTCGAGTCCAAGTCCAGCCTAGAGCTTGAGGTCAGCTTCGAAGAGGATGAGGAGGACAGTAAGGCAGGCATTATCGATGCGGACCTCTTCCACCTAGACGTTGATATTATCAAGAAGCTAGCACACCAGCGACTGCAACAGCTGGTCGAAGAGCATCCAGAGATAGTGACGCAGTATAAGAATCGCACGGCCGCCCGCCGACTGCGGCAACTGGCAGCTTCCGAAGGAGCAGATGTGGCCGGAGAACGCAGTGCTCTCCAGGGCCAAATGGCGCCGGAGGACATGAACCGTTTCTCGCTGCTGTTTACCAGCGAAACGTCATCGATACTGGCGCAGAAGAATGGCAATGCCGCCGACGAGGATCCCGCAATGGCCCTGCATCCTGCGTTGGCCACGGCGGCGGCCATTGCAGCAGCGGATGCGGCCGCCGAGAGCTATGTGCCGCGTGCCCGTAGCGACACGGAGAAGGCCTACGAGTTGGCCTCACGTCTGGAGCTGAAGCTGCTGCAGTGCAAAGTGCAGGCGCGAGCAGTGATCACCCCCTTGGGCGATATGCTCGAAGACAGCCGCTGGTTCAGTTCCCTTGGGCTGGACCACTCGATTTTCATGCGCTACCGAACGCTGTACATTGGCTACGGTGGCCACTACTCGCCATCGACAACTCTGGCGCAAACGGAGACGGTGGACCTGTCCGCGATTGGTTACTGCTGCCGCATCTCGCCGCAGCACGCCATCATCTTCTACGACGAGTTCTCCAAGTCGTACGAACTGATCAACTACTCGGAGTTCGGGACAGAGGTCAACGGGCAACTGTACGCCTGCGACCTGACCGATAGGATGCCCACCCACGCCGGAAAGCGAATGCGAGCCGATGATGCGGAGCTCAAGAGGCGCGTTGACGATCTGCTGGACAAGCGGCGGAACATTCATCGCCAGTTCGAGCCCAAGAGAAGTGGCAAAGACAGGTATCTATAGTTTTCGATAACTTAGTTGAATGGAAATCACCAGTATGCATCCCTCTACAGATTGGCGCCCATTGTAAAGCCCGCCTGCCGTTGCACGAACGCCGGATCTGTGCCGATGGTGGCTGGAGCTTGGGAGGGCTCGGCTGTGCTGGCCCACGGCAGCCTGCTGCGCTTCGGCTGCTTATCGTTTGTGTTTTCGGTGCCGTCGGTTGACCTGTTGCAGGCGCAGGCGCGCAGCACGCGTTCGTAGGGCCGAGACATACCCACCAGCAAATAGTTTTAGCATACACACACACACGCGCTCAACCGCAGCCAACTCCAGTGGAGCAGCACCAATCTCAGTGGGGCAGCTAGTAGCCAGGCCTAGGGTTAGGGTTAGCAATCAATTTAATTTTCATTACAATCATCTGCGCAATTTTACGCCTGGGCTTTTCATGTTTTACATATTGAATCACACAATCCTCCCATTTTAGTGTTAAGGGCAAACTCGCCTTATGATTAATGTACTAAATTCGGAGTTGGCTTCTGATTTGTGTAAAGCTGTACCTTGACACTGCACACATTTCAGATTCCCAAACCGCGTAATTTTTAAATTAATCGTAGTGTCCATTGATCGTGCATAAACCACTACGGATTACACCCCATTAATTGTATTTCTAATTGTATAAACTGCAAAAATGAAATAAACTTGTAAGATTTACGGACACTTGTCTTTTGTGAGAAGTTGGTGTTCGGTCTTTGTAGAAGATCGAGGGATCACCACATCCGACATTCAAAGTCTACCCAATTAACAGGAACAAAAAGTAAACAAATCGATTTTGTTGAAATGAATGTTTACTTTATAACCAGATCCAATCCAACTGGTTAAGGCATTATAGAGAACGAGAAGAGTATACACAATAGGTGCCAGGCGCCGAAACGCCGGGACTTTGTGGAGTACGCGAAACTTCGGATAAGTACATCGGTATTCGGTATGGCTAATATGCAAAAAATATAAGTTTAATTGTAAAAGACTAAAACTACGACTGCACTGCCTCCGAATTCTGGCTTGCTTTAGACAGCAGCTGGTCCTGGCTGTGCCTGTGGCGGACTGGCATGCTGCACCTGCTCCTGGACGCCCGCCTTGGCCGCTGAGCGCGAGGCCCGCGACCGTTCCCACTCCGCTTTGTGTTTGCGCTTGGTGTGGTGGTACATGTTCGACTTGGACCGGAATTCCGTGGGGCAGAAGGCGCAGGTGTGCAGCTTGACGCCCGTGTGGGTGGCAAAGTGTTCCTGATAGAGAAAGTGGGTTAGGATAACCATAAAGAGGCGCCCCTGTGGCATAAACTCACCTCCAAATACCGCTTCATCTTGAAGCACTTGCCGCACACCTCGCAAGCGTACTTGGGCTTGCTCAAGCAGCGATGATTCTGTCCAGGAAGCTCGCCGCAATTGGGACATATGACCGAGACGGGTGCGGCGTGGATGACTGCCTGTAGCGGAGCAGGTTGTCGTTTTTCTGCCTCTGCAGGCGGGCTGCTGTGGCGAATTTTTTCATTAGTTAACCATTCCGTGGGGTACTCAACCTACTCACCTGTATGGATGAGCCAGCATTGTCCCTGTTGCCGTCGTCGTGGTCGTTGTGGTGGCACTGCTGGATCCCACCGACGCCGCTGCAGCAGCCGTTGCCGACATCACAGCGAATAGTTGTTCCTGCTGCTGTTGAAGCAGACTGACGCACAGGCGCTGCTGCAAACTATCCGGTTGTCCTGCAGGGTTGTCCGTGAACGAAGCGGCTGCCACGACTGCCGCCGCCACGGCATTGTAGTTGGCCAGAATCAGCTCGTTCTCCTTGAGCCTCTTCTGGGGCGAATCCTCGTCGCTAGCATCGCTGCCCTCAGTGTGCTGGACCTTTTTGGGCGAGTGAGTCTTGCGGCGACTGGCCCTACTTCGTGAGCCCCGACTTGCGGACGGTGGGGTCTTGGTTATGGTGAGGTTGATTGCCTCGCTGGGTTGGCTCTTGATTACGGACAGCGGGAGCTGTTGGTTTGTGGGTGATGAGGGTAGGGGAGCAGCTGTGGGAGTAGGAGTAGTAGTTGCAGGAAGAGCAGGTTGTCCGGAAACAACATGATTTGGAGGGGGAGCAGCCAGGGCCGGGATTCCAGGGAGAGCAGCGGTAGCAGCTGGAGCCGGTTCCTCCGACGTCGTGTGATTCTGTCCTGACTTGGCCGCATCCCGTTCCTCGCGTGCCTTCAGCCACTGCGTCGTGTGCTTGCTCTTCACGTGGGTGTACATATTCGAACGGCAGCGGAAGGCCATCTCGCAGTAGGGACAAGGAATGGGTCGGTCGCCGGTGTGCGTGGCTATGTGCTCCTCCAGGTAGCGACGCATCTTGAAGGATTTCTCACAGAACATGCAAGGAAACTTATTGGCCGTTGTGGGTGTGACGGCTTTGGGCTCCTCCGCCGGCTCCAAAAGCAACTGGGGCTGCGCATCTGGCTGCAGTTCAGTGCCGTCCTCCGACCAGTTGACATCGCAATCGATGGCCAAGAACTGGCTGCACAGCGTCGTTTGCTTCAGCTCTACCAGCTTCCAGAAGTTGTGGAAGCTCTCGAGTTGCGAGCAGCACTCGCTGCAGATGCAGGTGGAGATGGCGTCGTCGCGGGAGAGCTAAAGGAGATTGGCGGACACATTAGTAGGAGGTGGAGGGCAGAAAACGGATCCCCAAGATACTCACGCAGAGGTACAAGTGAATCGAGATCAATTGGACCAGGTAGCTCTCCGGCATCGCTTTGCCGTCGTCCTCGTCATCTGGAGCGGACGCACTGGCTCCGCCGGCGCCGCCGAACAGCAGCACCGCGCTCTGCTCGTCCAGCGCGTTCAGACACAGGCGACAGATCATTTTATTCCGCGATTTTACTTTATTATTTGCTCCACCATTAGTTTGTGTTCTCCACACGCGCACGGTCACACTTTCACCTAGCGATGGCACGCCGTCCCTTTGGCGCTTATCGATTTGTAGAACCTATCGAATTGTTACGTTACGTAACGTGGAACGTAACGAATAAAAGTTATTTTAAATCGAAGTATTAGAATTTTCAGTTACAAAGTTTTTGAATTAATTCATTTCGCTTTTACTAATTTGAAAACAAGTAAAAATTGTTAGATTTATATAATTTAAAGCTAACAACAACTATTATTTTCATTTTTCGTTATTTCTTAAATTTATTTTATGATTACGGTGATGCAGCATATCTTTTAACCTACTTTGCAACAATGCTAATTACACAATATATATTTTTTTTCGCTTTATATATTTCTAGAATGACTATCAACAATTTTAATTGCCGTTTAATAGTTTATTAAACTTCTTTAAAACTTTTTATGTGACCTAAATTTAAATTTGTTGAACAAACTTAGAGCTTAAACTGATTACTTAATAAACAATGAACTACATTACATTTTGGAAGGTATTACTTTCGCAAATTAAAATGCGATTGTGGTGAATCGGCTAAAAAGAATAGAAAATGGAGACTCATGTTGGATGTCCTAAGGTATGTGATGCAATATTCAATTATACAGGGCTTAATGGCTGTAAATATTAAGAAACACATAACCAACTTTAGAACGGCTTCCCATTTAACATTATGAGAGTTACTTTATTGAGTTATTTATTTGAAAGCCCCAAACCTTTTCTCGATCCGCAAAAGTTACACCATGTCCAATGATAATTAATTTTTGGTGACGGAGGGATTTCAGCAATGACTACAGTGAGTAGAGCTTTGAAAGCTTTGGTTTTTACCTTATCTGAATGTGCATATATCATCCTATACTTTGCCGAAATGCAACTGATTTGCATGACTTGTAACCGCCAATTCGCTTTGACCGCTTGCATTGATGATGCTGCGACCGCAATTAGCTTCAAGTGCGAAAATTCTAGCTAATTGATTTGCAAAATGATGCAAACAAAGTTGGCAAACAGCAAGTGCAATATTACTAAATGTACTTTGCCGGGATTGGCACTCTGCCCGATTAGAATTTAAATTTCCACTCCTAAATAAACTCTGAAATTATTCTTCTCAAATTAATATTGAATAATTATACGAATTATTGGTTAGTGGGGGTTAAAAATAATCACACTTTTTGCAGGGAAATATATGTTCTTAGTTCTTGCTTGATTAATTTTAAGTTCAAATTTATTTGTAAGTTTAAGGTCGCTGAAAAGTTCCAAGAACGAAGCGAACCATTCACATGACCATAATTCCCAACTTAACGTATGTTTCGAATGGTACGCTGACCATTTAATTTGACAGTTAGCACTTTTTTTCAAAGTCTGAGTAGGGCTTTGTTTTTAAAGCATTTATTGGCCGGCTAAGTTCCATTTTCAAGGCCACTCAGCTGTTTTCAAGAGACTTAAATATGAACTTGTGCGTGTTTTTGCTGCGTTTGCTTTCAGCTTAATAAGTTTACAGCTGCATTAAATTGGCTACCGACAGTTACAGTCAGACCGCCATAACGTGAACAGGGGGCATTTATTTAATTTTAAGTGATTTTTACTTTCAACTACATTTTCCGACTTTGTTATACTAAACTGGACCTTGCCAACGTGACGTATGATTAATTTTGAATGAAACTTCAAAGGTTAAAGTCATTTTTAAATAGTATAAGTAATACTTATTTGACTACAGTCTTAAGACAATTTAGCTGGATACTTTTTTATGCAAAAGTATATAAAATTTTAATTAAGTAACTATATTTACATTGGCCAACCTGTCGTATGGGTAATTTTCTAGAACCCACAAAGTCTTCTAAAAACTTTTTAACCAAAATGAAATTTGAAGACCCATAAATGTATAAGTTTTAAAAAGATTATTATAAATAGATTTGGAAATGATTATTTTTTAAGTTTTATTTTTAAAATATTTAATTTTGGAAAGACGAAATTTGAAAATTCATATTTTCGAGTTGTAGAACTTTAAATTTTGAATAAAAGAATAATCAATCTACAGAAGCTGGACTGTAAAACATGTATGGTAACACGATTGCCGGCCGAAGTGGGTAAATTTATGCCGTCTGTCTGCGGTGTTCTGTGGGCCAGCAACAAAAATGTACCCAAATTCGCTTTCGCCCGCCGTTGCTTCTTTTTGACAGTTTTGTTTTAATTCATGTTCATACGCTTTGTTGTCGCCGTGTTCAGAGTGGTCGGTTGTAAATAGTTTGGATTCGTTTTAACTTGCGAAACACGTCCGACAGACTGCGAGCCAAGCCAGTTCAGTTGGCCAGCTCAGCCGGGAGCAGAGCAGCATAACAAGTGGAGCGCGACTTCGCCTTGCCGAAAATTGTTTGCCAATGTCGCGATAAAGCTGAAAAAACCAAAACCGAACCGACTGACGACCGATGAAAAAATGGGCGAACAAAATGCCGCCAAACATGGCAATGGCCTAAGCTGAGAGGTGGAAAGCCGGAAAAACCGCACAGCACCCACGCAATACGCACACGCAAAAAAGAGCATGCTGCTTTTTGACCTTCTGACATAGAGAAGTCATCAATGTACAAATATTGCACAACACCGGCGGAGTGTGGAGTTATTAAGCGACGACAGCCATATAAAATATTTCAAAAAATAACCACAGACAGATAGGAAAGGTAAAAGCTGCACAGGCAAAAATTATCATAATTTAAAATGACAAAGACTTAAATATATATAAATGTAATATATACCGACAACAAAGGCACAAAATATGTTTTAATACCACCACAAATCATAAGTATAAATTGTTTCCTTTCGGGAAATTTATTAAAAGACTTTTAGTCTCATAAAAAAATTTTATGTAATACCTTTTTGGAGTTCAAAATGTTTCAAAACAATCTAAAATGATCATAAGACAATGAAAAGTAAACTATGTTGAGAGGGTATTTTGTTTTTTATGTGAATCAGGTCTTATTTTTTTGTGTGTACAAAAATTAGCATGTGTGTTAAACTAAAACTAAATTAATGAAAGCAAATCTAGATCATTGGCTTGGATCAGCAGAAAATATAAAAACCAAAAGAAAGTAATATAATATAACCATTGGTCATTAATAAAAAAATAAAAAGTCTTCTTCATTTAAAATACAAAGCTTGCAAAAGCAGATAACTTATTTATATAATTTCTTTAAAGTTTAATCATATTTAAATGAAAAATCGTAACCTAAATGAAATGTATTTGAAAAGGATGTGTCCTTTTATGAAACACTTTTTAAAAAGAGATGTTAACGCCAAGAATGCAAATTACATTGCATGATCGCCAGACTTATCCCCCAATTCCCCCCCCGTTTGGCCATTAATCCAGTACGTTTTATTGGCCATTCCAGCAGCGACGTCGGCAGAGGCAGCGACGTCGACAGAGGCAGAGTTCCAGAGGCAGCGACTCGACGAAAAGCCAAAAAACGAAGTTTCAATCAGTTGCAGTCGCGAATTAGCGTCGCACAGACGCGCTCCACAGTCAATTTTGCCTCTCGCTCTCGCTTCATAGTCCGTCTTGCTCCCTCGCGGAAGTCCGATAGTTCCGATAGTTCTTCTAGGTGTAACGGTAAAGTTGGGCCCTGCAAAATGGTGCAATTGAACGAGAAAAACGAGGATCAACTGATGGACAAACGGATTTCGGAGCTGCAGGAGTGGCTCAAAACGCAGCCGCAGTTGCCGCAGAATATATGTTCGTATTGCCAAGTGGGTCACATCGCAAAAACCCACTTTTCTCTTTGCCAGCGAAGAGCACCGAAAGAAATGGCGATCTTTTTGCACATCCAGTAGATATTTTTTATTGTGCTAATTTCTAAGCTAGATTTTGGGATGCTCCACAAAAAGCGTACATATATGCCATGATGTACTGATCTTAACTTTAAAATATTCATTTTCATTAAAAAACTATTTTTCTAACTGTTCAAAATCAGAAAGAAAGATCTTATTAAGTGATCGATTTTAAAGTACTGCAGGAACGAATATAATATTAAAAAAAAGTAATAAAAGTGGGAGCTTTGTAGCCCTTCATCAAAATTAATTTTAAATTATATTACGAACCTTTTTTTTATAATTGAATACCCATTGTAAGGATTAGGCCACTAATTAGTTCTTACACATTTTTTCCTGTGTAATTATCGTTGGCTTGGCCAACTTTGACTGGGTCAATATTGGCTGTGCTATGGGAACCGCAGCCAGTTGCATAACGATCGCAACCGCAGTGACTTACGAATGCACCTGTACTGCTGATCGCCTGTGCTCACGTAAATTCGTATTCCTCCGCAGCCCGATTGCTACTGCGCCGCTTTCTGCACACAACCCGAAATGATCTGTCGGCCGCCCAGCGACTCATGGAACTCAATTACGGACTGCGAAACAAGCATGCCCACATCTTCATCGATCGCGATCCGCTGGACGACAGTTCCCAGCAGTTGCTGCAAGTCGCGTGAGTACCCAGATATGGGGGTTTCGGGAGTTAGGATCGGGGAAGTTACCACAAAATCATCTCAGATGAATTTCCAAGATCCCAAAGTTGCCATGTTCAAGATCAAATTAATATTGCCCAAAATCTGTCTTTATATAGCCTGATCATCTTATCTATTCTGTGTTATGGTTTAGAAACAATCATTGTTGATGTGTTACAACTATCGAGATAATAAGATTACAATGTTCCAAATTAAGTTTTTATTTCCAAAATTGTCTTGGAAACATTAAGAAAATCTTTATTCTAACATATTTTAAATTAAATAGTACATAAATTAATTTAAATAGCATTAAAAGCAAACAAAACAATGTTAAGATTTATACATGCATTAAAAGCAATTGTTTGTGTGATTAAGGTAATTGCCAAAAAGTAAAAATAATAGTCCCCGTTTACGCCAGTAAACTTGGGACTTTAAAAAGTTTATTACCAAGTTTGACGTGCTTATCCACATATGTTGTTGCCTAAATAAATCGTATTAAAAATAAAGCTTCAGACAACAAGGAAAAATACCGAAATGGGTACATGAAAATTGGTTCCGGATAGTTAAATGTATGCATGGTCTTCATCAAATCAAAGTTTACAATCTACTATAAATCTCCTGCAGAAAATCAGTAAAAATTAGTACCGGCAACAAAAGTCATAACAGAAATTAATTGAGAGATAAACGCTTCAATACAGACATTAAATACTGATTGAGACTTTGGTTTTATAGACTTTTAATTAGCTGAAATTCCTGTGAAATTGGAAATAACGTCTGAACATCTGGCTATGTCATTTGATTGGCATATATTAGCTTAGATCTTGTGAGCTCAGTGAATTTACAGGCAATTCGCAATGTTGACTTAGGGCTTAGTGTTTTTGCTTAGTGTACAGAGAGTGCATTGGCTTGCGATCTCAGGTAACCGGTTTGGTTTGGATAAAAAATGGGGAATGGTGAATTAAGTGGGCTACCCAGAATTATGTTAACCGTTTCCCTGGCATTTTCACTTGCAGAGATCTGGTGCCGTTGCCCGGTTTGACCCCGGAAAACAATAAGCTGCTCTTTTACCGCCTTATCGACTTTGATGCGGACAAGGTGAGTGTCCAGTGGTTAAAATTATTAAAACATGCAGATGAACTTGCATATGCATTTAAAATAATGAAACAAACCCTTAAATTTGTACTTAAACGTGTTGATGCTTTATCATTTTCTCATAAAAATATGTTTGTTGGCAGTTCAACTTCACGGCTGCGATCAAGGTGTTCTTCATGGTGGCCGACTGTCGATTTGCCACGGAGGATGAGGAGCGTCTGTCGGACGGGGAGATACCCGTGTTCGACATGGCTGGCTATACGCTGCGCCACCTGACCAAAACGGCCTTGGGCGCCCTGCGGGTCTACATGAAGTTCGTCCAGGAGGCGCACCCCGTGCGGCTCAAGGAGATCCACGTGATCAACTGCCCCTCGTTTGTGGACAAGGTGATGGCCGTGGTTCGGCCGTTCATCAAGGGCGAGGTCTTTAAGTTGATCCACTTCCATTTGCCCGACTCGGAGACCCCATATCGCCACTTTCCGCGCTCCATGTTGCCGGAGGAATACGGCGGCGAGGCGGGAAAGATGTCCGATCTGAAGCAGCAGTGGATGCAGTTGCTCAAGGAGCAGAGGTTTCTACTTCCCTAGAGGTTTTAAATCACTTAACAAGGTGTATTAAAGAATGCTACGATGTATTTTGAGTCCGAAAGTATGATGCAAAAGACCACGGCATAATTTTTTGCACCTCTTTTAAAGTGATTTCAAATCTATTGATTAATTGATGTATTTAATATATTCACTTCCTTTTGCAGGGATTACCTAATGGATTCGGAAAACTGGCAGATTAACAAGGCCAAAAAGAACGGTCAGCGAAAGTTCAGCGATTCTGGAGTTACACAAGGTCTACGCTCTCTTGAAATTGATTAGTCGCCGCGCGCACAACTGTACCTTAATATTTAAGGCCTTTACCGAGTTTTACCTTCTTCAAGATTCTGCAAAAGTGAATTTAGCTAAAATTAGGTTTTCAACGTAAATTTAATTTGGATTTTATTAGCTTTGCTTTTGATTTACGATTCAATTTAATTATTTTCCTCTTGATTTTGAGAATCTTTTACAATTTAAAATCTAAGAATTTTGTGGGAGTCTAACGTAATTATTTTTTTTACCCTTCAATGAACTCTTTTAGACTTAAAGTTGGATAAAAATATATCAGAATTAATAGGCAAAATTCGATTAGGCTCAAGGCACTTTTGCGAATCCTGGTGAATGTGATAGTCGGATATTGCCCCATCCATCTATTGTATTTTTGTTTTGTTCTCGTTCCACTTCCCAGCTGGGCTTGGGTCTATGTAAATATATGTATGCTATGCTTAAAGAGAAGGTTCTTCACATTTCTCATTTCACATTTCACATTTTCGTATTCACTTTCACACTCTCCATACGACAGGCGCATTTTGTGTAATTGAATGCTCTATTGTGGGAAATGAATGGCCAGGGAAATGGAGACGAGCGCACGGGGAATGTGCAGCACAGGATTTCCATTTTTAATGCAACAGCATAATTCCAATCGCTGCCGGTGCATTCGATGCCTGCGACTGATGCAATTAACTCACTACAAAATGGGGCGGCAGGCGAAGAGGAAATTGGGGCTGGCCTGCACTGAAAACTTCCATGGAGCAATACAAGTATTTAATAGTCAACATCTTTTTAAGCCTAATATATTAAGCCTAATAGTTAAACTTCAATTTATTTATCTTAATGTAAATTTAGTCAATTCAAACCCTTAAAAAAATATGAATCAGATTATATTGTAATTATTATTTATTATATATTTTTGATGTTCTCACTAGTAGATGCTGAAAAACTAATATGAACTGCTGTATTTTTGACTTTAATTTTTTTCTGTGCTTTAATTTGTTTTAATATTATGTACTACATAAAACTAGGCCATTTTACTATTTTATATATGGTACCTTTTGGTACTAATTTATATCAGTGCATCAAACAGCCCTAAAAATCGGGCTATATGTATATGTATAGACAATGCGTGTGTGCAAGCGTATCTGTGTGTGATTCGGACGAGTGTGTGTGGGTGTGTGTGGAGGAAGTGGCTGAGGCAGTAGAAGTGGAGCAACAGCCACAGCAACAGCAACAGCAATAGCTACCGAAAGTGGAGGCCAAAGGACCCTTGAGGCATAATGCGCATATCGACACATCCGTTCGGTTGGCCAACCTGGCCACTGGATTGTCGGCAACACCCAGTCTGCAATCCCCAAAACCCCAATACCCAATTCGCAATTCGCAATCCGGACTCCCACAATCCACACTTCGCATTCGGCCAGTGACACTTGGAAAATGTCTACGAGTCGTGTGGCTGACACATTAAAGTGTGGTTTGGTAAAAAGTGTGCTTGCATCCTATTCTCCATCATCTCTATAAGGTATTCCCATGCCACATTCTCCGTTTAGTAGTCCATTGCTGTCCGTTTTCATGTTATATTATTCCTAATGCCAGCTTACACAGAAACTAATTTATTAAAGTATCTTAATAATGAAATATATAGGTACAAATAATTTCATTTGTAAGTAATCTAGAATTGATATCTTTGTTGCATAGTATCTTATATCTTAAAAGATTTTGATAGAAACCACAACCACTTTTTGGTTTGTTTAACTCATAAATATATTTAAGTAGAAACTGGTTTGTGTATTAACACAATGTCTCTGCAACTTAGCTTCATTCTATATCAGATTTTTCTGGCTGTGCTGGTGTTTATATGTGTTTTTACTGGACTCCCCGTTCCCTCCGATTTAACACCACTTAACGCTGCGACTCATCCGTCAGTGTGGTGCGTGCCACTCCCATTTGCATGGGTGGCTTGTGGGAGGTGGGTTGTGGGTGGTGGGTGGTGTGTGTGCGACTTACACTTTTATCCAAAACCAGATGTGCACTGCATGCGATTGCATGGTAATCGAATTATGTGGCAACTCTGCCTTTGCGAGGGGGTGGCGGTGGGAGGTTGGGTGGTTTTTGTGGATGGGAGGATGCCGACACACGAGAACCATGGAAGTGGGTCGGTTGGTGGGTGGAGCTCCTTCCTAGGACTCCCATATATTCAGCCGTGTTACCCTGTAGTTTATTTTGGCGTTGCTTTCAATATCCTTAAAAGATTATTATATATATGGTATATTTAGTTCGAAAAGTTAAATTACTTCTTAAAACTGAGTAAAACTCTTATAAACTTTACGAATTCGTTAATTTTGGTAAGGGTTTGACAATTTAAGTGTCATTTGAAAAGACTTTTTAGATCTCTAAGCAGAGTTATTATTGCTTCAGAGGTTTCAAGCCTAATAAATGATTGAGAGAGTAAAATTTAAAATTCGGTAATTTGCAGTTTAAAAGTATTGAGAATATAAATATTTTCAGATTCAGAGTTTTTTTAAATCTTGTAGCATTTTCTGTTGGTATTTCATTAAAGCTCTCATAATAGTGTCTATACATAACCAAAAGATATTTAAAACCAAGAAAACCAAGTTATAAGTCCCGAATAAAATGGTTTTGTTTATTAGAAATCACTTTTAAATTTAAAAATTGAATTTCTTTAAGAGGTTTCTGTGGCCCCCTTGCAAGATAGAGAGGAGTTTTGGAACCTCACTGGACATCCGGTCGGAAGGACCGCTGAGCACCCTTCTTCATCTGACACGATGGCCAGCAGTCAACCCTTCAATTGCATTATGACTGCCAACACAATTAGGGCGTTCGGGTGAAGCCGAAACCCAGTCCCTGTCTGGGTTTTCAAGTCCCGGGGAAGTGTGCATAAATTATACATATTTGCACATGATGGGCAGAAACAAAATCCAAGTGTGGTATGGGACGGGCATGTTGGGGTCTTGGGGTTTTGTGGCCCATCAAAGACAGAGAAAGTCCCTGCCAGACTTGACGCCCAAATTGATCAATTTTACATTCTGCCACAACAATCGCAGCTGTAAAATGGGGGAGGGGGGCGTACTGAGTGGGCGTGGTGACCCCATTAACATGCCCAAGCCCAAAAAGCTTACGCTGCACTCTATATATACGGCCTGCAGTTGGCCGAGGATTTCCACGAGTTCCTTCGCTTTTCTCTGTTCTCTGCTTTCTGTTTTCTCCGTTCTCCCTGCACTTCCCCTCTCTTTTCCCGGAAGAGGAAGAGCCAGAAGCTGGGGGCGGAAAGCAGGGGGCGTGGCTGGGGCAAAAACAGAAGCAGTGGCAATAAACGAAATGTGCAGTCAACAATAGTCCGCCAGTCCACCTTGTTCGAGTGTCCTATGTGTGCGTCAAAGTACAGTGACTTCTCCGGAAAATGAATACATTCATTCATTGGTAAACTTTCATTGTATTTTTGGGTCGATTTTGTTGATATTTCCATGATATTTCCCCTTTCCAAATTTTCGAAAATTGGAGTTGCAGAAAAGTGACCTAAATCTGGTTCTTCTAAGCCCATAACTTTCCTTTTTGAAGTCCGATTTAAAAATGGTATGTCTTAAAGAACTCGTGGTCACATTCCCTAAAAATCTGCATTCACACATTTTTTTGTAATTTTGGATCGATTTTCCATGAAGTAACCCATTTCCAAATTTTCGGAAATTGGAGTTGCAGAAAAGGGACCTAAATCTGGTACTTCTAAGCCCATAACTTTTGTATCTGAAGTCCGATTCTAAAATGGTATGTCTTAAAGAACTCGTGGTCAAATTCCCTAAAAATCTGCATTCACACATTTTTTTGTAATTTTGGATCGATTTTCCATGAAGTAACCCCTTCCCAAATTTTCGGAAATTGGAGTTGCAGAATAGTGACCTAAATCTGGTACTTCTAAGCCCATAACTTTTCTATCTGAAGTCCGATTCTAAAATGGTATGTCTTAAATAGCTCGTGGTTGAATTCCCTAAAAATCTGCATTCACACATTTTTTTGTAATTTTGGATCGATTTTCCATGAAGTAACCCCTTCCCAAATTTTCGGAAATTGAAGTTGCAGAATAGTGACCTAAATCTGGTACTTCTAAGCCCATAACTTTTCTATCTGAAGTCCGATTCTAAAATGGTATGTCTTTAATAGCTCGTGGTTGAATTCCCTAAAAATCTGCATTCACACATTTTTTTGTAATTGTGGGTCGATTTTCCATGAAGTAACCCCTTTCCAAATTTTCGTAAATTGGAGTTGCAGAAAAGTGACCTAAATCTGGTACTTTTAAGCCCATAACTTTTCTATCTGAAGTCCGATTCTAAAATGGTATGTCTTAAAGAACTCGTGGTCAAATTCCCTAAAAATCTGCATTCACACATTTTTTTGTAATTTTGGGTCGATTTTCCAAATTTTCGGAAATTGGAGTTGCAGAAAAGTGACCTAAATCTGGTACTTCTAAGCCCATAACTTTTGTATCTGAAGTCTGATTCTAAAATGGTATGTCTTAAATAGCTCGTGGTTGAATTCCCTAAAAATCTGCATTCACACATTTTTTTGTAATTTTGGGTCGATTTTACATGAAGTAACCCCTTTCCAAATTTTCGTAAATTGGAGTTGCAGAAAAGTGACCTAAATCTGGTACTTCTAAGCCCATAACTTTTCTATCTGAAGTCCGATTCTAAAATAGTAGGTCTTAAATAGCTCGTGGTTGAATTTCCTAAAAAGCTGCATTCACACATTTTTATTAGTGAACATAGAAATTTTCGTTAGCCTGTAGCTGTCTTTTTGGTGAGCGACTGCTGTACTTGCCTCTGTGTGTGTGAGAGGTCCAACATGTTGTTGTTGCATGCTCGTTGTCGTCGCAACACCAACACACATAGACTGGGTGTGCGTGTGTGTGTATACGGATTTGCAGCTGTAGTTGTTGGCCGGGTCGCTGTTCAGTTGAGTGACTGATAAGTTCAGTCGGCGTTCGTTTGGCGCCGAGAACGGTTATCGCGTCTAATCGAATTTGGCTTAAATTCGTTGCGAATAGAACAAGGCGACAAAAGAGCTGGGAAAATCGCTGGAAAAACCAACCGCGGAATAGCGTAAAAATTCCACCTAAAGATTTTCCTCCGAATGCGCATTTGTGACTGCTACATTGTATTTTGTTTTTTTCGAGTGCAACACCCGGCAAGTGAACAAATTTTGCGGATTTTCATCTCCGGATTCCAGACCCCGGACTCCTGGAGGTATGCAATGAATTTCGCCTGCAGTCGGTGAGCGAGTTTTTAGCTGTTGCTTGTGCATACACATAACTATTCTGCATGTGTGTCCTGGAAGTTATATCCTTGTTCCGGCGAATGCTTGTTCAATTATGTAAGGCGGAATTCATGACTGCACAGCCTGTTACCAGGCGACGGCCATAAAAAATCCAGGGGACCTGCTATTTACGGGGCGAGTCCTGGCGATAATAATAAATGAGAATGCAAAGAAAGGCAAGGGTTAAGCTTTAAATACATATGTTCGTTTGTTCTAATTGCGTATAATACGATTGAGCTTCGTTTGAACTTTAGGTAAGGAAAAAATGACAGAATAATAATGTAACTAGCGCAATAATCATACGGTTAAGCGCGTAAATCTTAATCTTGAAAACTATTGACCTAAGTGCCTCAAGATTTCTGTGATCCAATTTATCCCATTGAATTCCTTCCATTAAGATCTAAAAAAGTAGAAAAGAAGATAGTTTTTATTAACTCGCGAAAAGGAAGCTTTAAATATTTGTCACTTCTATGTATTCGCGTTTTTTTATTGACCATGTTTTCTAATAGTTTTTATACAAGCTTATGAGTAACTTGAATTTATTATGCCTAAAATTAAGAATAACATAATAAAAGTAATTGGAAAAAATTCAAGTTACCTCCTATTAAATAATTAAATCGAAACAAGCAAAGCTTAGGGTAATTATTTTGGGAAGATTTTCAATTAGTCCTTAATTACAATTACATTTTTGGGCTTATCCCATACGTATTGTGGCAGTCCCCGATAATTGGCGACCTCAGCGAATAGCCCTAATGCCACCCCCTCTTAACCCACTGTGCATGTGTGTCATTACTTAACACCTACAAGCTGCCGCCAGTCGGCACGCCATTACACTATTACAGCAACAAACAGGGAAATACGAAATACGAATAAAAACGCGGAGAAAAAGCGGGGGACCGACGGCTTTGAACTACCCCCAAAAGACTTTAACCTCGCTGAAGAACGAGAGGCGAGAGACCCATATTAGTCATGCCCAGCCCGACGAGCTCACGCCCCCTTTTTGGAGAACCCATACCCACACCCTCATATCCACCCACACCCACACCCACACCTACACCTCCTTCATTGTTATTGCATGCTAATTCTCTTCTCTCGGTGCCCCACTCGAATTCTCGTTTCTTTCACATTATTGCTTTTGGCTTTTGCCTTTCAAGAAGTCATTTTCCTGTGACTGCCTGAAAGTATGCAGTGGAAGAGGTCTAATCGCATTTGGCACACAGAGAAAAAACACAACCCGATCCCTAAAGCCTGTGAAGTGTATCGTCAAACAGTATCATGCAACTTACCTATTCTGGATACAGATTATAGTAAATAGTTTATTAAATAAATATATATATTAGGATAATCCCCTATTATTTCACTGTTGGTCCTTCGAGCCGGATTTAATGTGTAGCGACTTTGATATGATTGGCAAAGACATTTGAGGGCAATGACAAACAAGATCACTTTTGAACAAGGGTTATGGACTGCCTTTTAACCAATATTTTTCGCTGAGTGCAATGTTGTCTGATGGGGTGGATTGAGGGTGCCTGGTCAGCATCGTGAGTGCTCCACTTTTGGGCTAGACAAAGAACAGTCACCTGTTCTGCAGCCCCTCTTTCAGTTGGCCCAAATTCCATGCGACAAGTTTGATTGAGTCAGCTCAACTTGTATACAATGCACAATGTATAATGCATAATGAAAGAGAGAGTGGCGAAATCTGATTCACTGCCAGCAGCGACAAGAGGGTCCTTCCCCCAGCTCCTGGCCATATCCTTTGCACTGTCTGTGTCATTGACGCTTATCAAAAGCCAGCGATCAAAGCCAGGGTTTTGTTTCCATTTTGCTGTTTCTGCTTCTCGCCTCCGCCTGTCTCCCTCATTTTTCCGCCGCTGATAAGCATCGGAATATTCATGGAAACCGCACAGTGGGCCATAAATGGTAGTAGATTTCACTTATAAAAAGGATATCTCTTGAGTTCTCTAGAATTGCAAATGCATACAATGTGAAAAAGATTGTAAACTTTGTAAGTGTTTACTAAGTTGTGAGTTTTTCTTGGTTTTTGGATTTCAAATCATAATGGTCAGTCATCCCAACCACCGTCACCTGTCTGACTTTAGACAAACAGTTTGTTTGCCTCCTTTATTCCTGGCCAGCCAGCTCTTTCCTTTTGGTCTGGCTATTCTTTTACCTCAGTGCCCACATCCTTTGCATACCTATGTGCTCGGCCATTGAACATCCTCATTGAATTTATTCTCCTTGGCGTCTGGTTTTTCTCTGGCTCCTTTAATCTTCACCACCCACCATCCAACTATCTAACTTTCTAACCATCCAGCCATAGACCCACTCCCTCCATGACAAACAGTTTAGCTGGGAACGATGAGCAACGAGCAGGCATTAATAACTTTTTTGCTGTTGTATTTTTAGTTGGCTTTTGCAGGTAGAGAAAAACAATGTAGTTTCTTTCCATAATTAAGAACTTACTTATTACTTATTACCAAAAGTTGATTATATTATAGCTCAATTTATAATTAAAGAATTATTGATGAAGCCCAAAATATATGTTTACATATTTTAATACTTATTATTTCTATATTATTTATTGTATAAATCATTGCTTTAATTTTTTTGTAGTCTGGTAATGATGAAAAAAAGCAATTGTTTTCTGTGCAGCCGACACTAAATGGCCGCCGCCGTCTTTTGGATGCCATTTTTTGGGGCTTGCGGTGCCGCCGACCCCACTGCCCCCTCTCCCCCCTTTTGCCCCTTTTTTTGTTGCCTCTTCTTGGACAATTTATGAGGTCAATGAAATGCTTTTGCCGCCTGCTGAGCGCCTCCCGCCGCTCGCAATGTGAAATTCTGCCAGCGACGACAGCGGCGACGTCGCCCAGCGTCTCCACCCCGTGTGACCTCCCAAAACCCCCCCAACAAAAAAAAAAGAAACCCCTACCCCATCCCCTGGGCCACCAATGTCATTGGGGGCAATGTGTCTAAAGGCTTTTGCCTATTGCCTTTGGCCGCAGGCCATGAGCCATTTTCAGCCGAAGTTGCCAATTCAAAGAGGGCAAAGAAAAATGGTAGAAGAAAAGGGAACAATATACGAGAAAAGTCTTATAGAGGGAAACCACAACCCCTACAACTGGGGAGTAAAAAATAATAATTAAGAACAAAAATTAATTAAGAACAAGAATTTTCTTGGCTACATTTTTCTTTAGCAAAAGGTTTTATGTTTTAAAATATGTCTGTGTTTTTGGTCTTTAATTTTAATGTGTTTGTTTTTTTTCATAATAGTGTATTTTATTGTGAGAATGTGTCTATTAAATAAAAGAGTTTAATGCTTCAACTAAATATTCCTAATTTGTTCTTAAATGGTATTAATACTAACCAACTTTAATTGAAATTGATTGACTGCGTTTACGACTATAGTTATTGGATTACATTTTTAATTAAAAGATCTTGTTGAGCCTTAAAAACTGTTACTGGCTTGTTGTCAGTTGATAACCAACTAAATAAATAAAAGGAAGGAATTTTTTAGTTTGATTAGTAAAGACAAGGACTTAAGTTATTGAAATCAAAGTCTGGGTTCTTTATGCTGTAAAGATTTGTAAATGTTTATTTAATGTTCGGCCAGACAAAGTTCTGTTTTTTTACTCCAATTATTCTTTTCATAGTTCAGCTTGAGAAGCAAAGTTTTCGCTGAAGAGAGGAAATTGTTGATGGGTTGGTGGTGGAAAAATGGGGGTCGTGAAGGGGCTTTATATGTACATATATATCGCCAGGGAACGGTTCTTTAAGCTGTTTGGCAAAGTTGTGCGCTTATGCTGACATCCTTGTCGCCTTTGCGACTCCACCTCCACTTTATGGCGCTGGTTCCATCGATTTTCGATGCTCCATCTGGAGAAGGAAAGCCAGCGTTAAAGGCCATCAAGTAGTTTAAAGTGGGAAGGAGTCGAAAAGGGGGTTTCCCGTAAAATACAAAAAGTTTTGCCTTCTCATGGGTCCGATTTCTTGCTGCCTTAAGTCAGTTTTAATCACACAAAAGGGAATATTGTACTATTAACCGTTTAGTCAAATATATAATACGATTTAATTAAAGTAAGATATTTTGTATTAATTATAGAGACATGATTTAAAGCGTTCGTATATTAAACACCGTTTTCCATTTATGTTATTGACGAATTTAATAATTGTATTATTGACTATGTCCTTTTTTATGACCAATGCAGGTAAATTAATAAATATTAAAAAAAAACTATAAGCTTTGAGAATTAGTGATCATCATAAATCCATTTGAGTTAAATAAAAAATAACCGATATCAGAAAAACACGTATTTTTACATTGGCCAAATGAAGTTTTATACTGTCCATCTCAATTTGTATGAAAAACTAATTAATACACATCATGTTTCCAATTAAGTAAAAAATCTAATAATTTATGCATACACATACATGAGCAATTAATGGAGAGAAAAGTAAACTGAGTATTTATTTTACTTTGAACAAATATTTAATAGTGTCCATATCAATTAGAAAACTTCAGGTACTAAGTGAAAAGTGAACTGAGTTTATGTAACTAAATGTTTTGCATATGTGCAACAAATTGGGGAAAATGTAATATTGTTTGCATGAAGCATGGGAAAGTTTGCAACGCAAACAAAAACTCATGCACAGCATTAAATTGGGTTTCCCACTAATGGGAAATTTAATAACGTTTTCTGTATCTATTGAAAACGTTGGTAACAGTATTATAAAATAATTTATGCGTGCATTTATTTACAATTTGTATTCGTTTAAAGACCTTTTGAGTGAAGTTTGTGTTTGTTTTGATTGTGAAAAACTTTTCAATTATTTTTATTTACAACTAATTGGCTTGTATTGTGATTGTGTTTGATTTTTACTAATTCTATGAAAAATGTGTACTTGCCATTTAATTGAAAGAAGTTACACCATATTTGCATTGTTATTTCACTAATTAATTAGTTTTATAATTGCATTCATTTCGCATGCACTGAGTCCATGTTTGTGTACACTTTCGAGTATAATCCTTTTGAAATCGGGCTACTTATTCATGCAATTATAGCCGCGACCAAGTACTTGGCCTTAACTTTTCACCGTTTCTCACAACCTGACACTGATGAGGGCACTCATTTGTATTCATTGCCCCTGAATCTATGGGCGAATTACGAAAAATTGCCGCTAAACGTTTTAAATTTAGAACTGCGCCAGCGGAAGGTCGAATGTGGCGGTGGGTGGGGTTCAAGGCTATCGCGGTGGGTGGGTGGTCGTTGGGTGATTGCGGAAAAGGGCGTTGACAAGTTTATTAAAAAACTACGTCTACACTGGAGTGGGTATTTGTGTGTTCGTGTTTGGGGCCGAAATGACTTTAATCGCATTGCCAAACCAATGACAAGCACTAGCTATAAATATCGATAACCATTGGGGACTTGCGATCAAGAAGGGCAAACTAAAATTAAATACCTTTACAGTTTTCCATACCAATTTATATTTTTGAATAGGTATGGATGTTAAGTAATCATTAAACAATACGTATTGTTTTTTACATACATTTTTGGCTGGCTTTAAGCCTTGGAAAACCTAGTCAAACACATATTTATGCCTAAATCAAGGTTTTATAGCCGCGTTTATTTAGTCAGTAACCGAAAGTTGCCGTGAATAATTCAGGGATTGTGTGAACGAGGAATTTTCAATTGAAGCCGTTCAAACATTTGCTTAGACAAACATCAAGCCATTCTCTTTGATTCGCCTTTTATTTCCTGTGGATATGATGAATAATGCACCGAATTCATTTCGACCCGCAACTCCCCAATCAATATGCATCCCCTACAGGACCACTCCCACTTTTTTTTCACTGTCCCAATAACCAGAACAAACTGCAGAATAAAAGTTCCTATACACAAGCCCAAAAAAAAGAGAAAAAAAACTTTATACTACCAGGCAGCTGCAATAATCATGTTTGCGTCAGGATGTGTGTGTGTATATATATATATATATATATATGTGGTTCAAGGATGCTCGAGTTTTATGTCCTATTTCTTATTTCTTTTATTTTGGACCCAGAAAATCGAGGGAGAAAATGAAATATTGTCTTTTGTGTATTAAAATGAAAGGTAGCAATCGGTTTTCATAAACCATGTGCCTTGGCAAATCAGAAATAACAAATTCCTATTCCTTAGATACTAAAAATAGCAGTCTCTTCAGCTTATATATATAATATTTTAGCTTATCGGTTTTTATCGGGGCTTGAGGCTTTGACACAATTTCTGCCAGGGAAACATCAGAGATTCGATGAAGTCATAGAGCCAGCAATCTGGGTTGCAAAAATGGATTTTTGTCGATATTTACTTTGGGTCTGCGTCATCTGAGTGACACAATTTTGTTTTGATAAGGATTCAAATATTGTTCGGTTATATTAAGATAACATTTTCGAAAAAACTAATAAAATATTAGGTCGTTATGAGGCTTTATTTATGAGCTTGTAAATCTGAAGGTTAAAACGATATTAAATGATTATGACAATGTTTGTTTTGCGATAGATTAACCAATAGTTTATTAAGACAAACAGTATACAATTATATTAGTATTAATTCAATGGGATGTTATAGTTAAAGGTTGGTTTCTTAGATTCCATAGACGTTTTGGTGGCAAAGCTGGAAATTTGATTAGTCAATTAATTTAAGATTTATTACATGAAATTAAAAATTGCTGCAAGGCACGATGACCAGTATAACAATAACAGCGCTGAATATTTAATGGCGAATTTCCTAGAATTACTTGACAACCCTATGTGGGCAAGTCTTTAAATATTCATCAATTGTTGATGTTATTATTTCACTTCCGGTTCGTTTGCGGCTGCCACGCGGTTCAATGAACTGTTGACACGGAATAGCCCCCTTTCACCCCTCTTTCTCACTCTTTCTCCTGCCCTTTCTCCGCATCTGTCTCGCTCGCTCGCACTGGCGAATAATTCGCCGGCAGTGCAGACACGTATTGCCTCATATATATTTAGTTCGCCTTATTTTTTCCAAATGATTCCCCAATGATTGATGGGGCCCAACGCGAGCAACAGTAAAAGCCAAGTGATATGTGATTGCAACCGTTTTGCTATAGTTTTTCCTGCACTGAGCGAAATCGGTAAAATCATATTTTTTTTCTTACCATTCAATATTTCCAGTGACAACGCAATAGAAATTTTGTATTATTTATTATGGAATCAGCAGAACAAAGATATTTTGTATAAATTTCTCGTTGATCAAAAAACAAATGAAGTGGTTAAGGAACTATATTTTGTTATATTTTGTTGCCTTCGCAATGTAAAAGTTTGTAAACAACAAAGTTTATCATACTTACATCATACATCATTTTTTCCAGTGCATTATTGTTGCCACAGGCAATTATGAAAAGCTACGCCAAAAGAGAAATCGTGCCAATGGCCTTCTAATGTGTGTCCCTTCGTTATTTTTTCTCTTCCTTAGCTGGTGCTCCATTTAAAGGATATTCCATGCCGTGCTGCTGGCTGAATAAATAGCATCGAGGAAAACGGTTACGGAATGGATGCGCGCCGGCAGAAACGACTTGGCCCAGCGCCAATTGCATCCTTCGAAAAGTCATTCGAGGACAATGCCACGACAAATGCACAGCAGCAGAGCCAACACCAGCAGGAGCAACAGCATCCTGGCCATGTGGCGGTGAGTCCTTTAGCCTATTTACCTAGCACACCACAGCAAAATACAGTGAGCCCTCTTCCCGGGAAACTGTATTTGAAAATATCGCGCCACCTATTGGGACTTCTTAAAGTATGCAATCGAAGAATATTAAAGTTTATTAATTTAAAATATATAAAATTTAGTATAATAATTCTATTCCTGAAAACTTAACTATTAATTTGCTACAGATTTAAATTCAATTATTAATATATTTTTAAGTAAGCAATACAAATTATCAGAGATAGATTGTTTTGGGTGACCACCTTAAGGAGTACGGACTGTGTTAGTAACTGTTACTGGCTCATGTCACATGCACATAATGCAGGGCTTAAATTAATTAACCAAAACATGAAATCAACTAAAGCGTTCCTGGGCGCTGTAAGCTTGGTCAGAGCTTTCCGCTCTCCAAAAAATATGGGTGTATAAATGGGGGTGGCAATGAGGAGTGTGGGGGGTGGGGGTCAAAGGTTGGGGGCTGTGTGCCGCAATCATGCAAATGGCCACTTAAAAGGCAGGCAGGCAGGCCAAACGCTTGTGGCTAATAAACAAAATGAACCTTAAACGGCAAAACAGCAGCAACACCGAAAGGAACAACAAAAATTGGTTAGCTATATCCGAGACACGCGCCTCGCAGATCGGCGACTGAAAAACCGTGAGTTCGTCATGCGTTGGAAAATATTTTGGCACGCATCCGCCTCAAATGTGAAGTGCTCCAAATAATGTTATTTAGCCAGCGGCAAAGGGGTCGAAGGACGAGACATGATAAAGCATCGCGTGAGGGACTAACGAAAACAGTGCTGGGTAAAGAGATAGAATCAGGGGCCTTAGGAGATGCCCCAGGCCAATAAACATATAACTACACTTTCTAGTCCATAATCTGACCTATTAAAAACGAGCTCCGTTATGTTATACCTCTATAAGTTTGTTATTTAATTATCGAATAATTATTTAAACTGTTGCATTTGTTTTTTTTTTACATATTTTCTTTTGTGATAGCATTCAATGAGATTATTTGCGAAAGGTATATTAAATGATGCTATTTTGATTACCCAAAGCCATTTATTGACCTTATTCATAATATCAGCTTTTGTGTTAATCCCGGTGGTGTAGCTATTTATTTGCCCGCCGCTGTATTCCCCGTCGCTGTCGCACCCACACGCGCACATGGCAAGTTGACTCTTGAAGCTTCGCAGGCGCCACAGCTGAGTCCTTAGAGCTTTCCGGCCTCTCTTTCCTTTCCACCCCGTTCCCGTTTCCTTTCTCTTCTCTTTCTTTGAAGCTTTCTGCCATGCAAAGCGAATTGAAGTCAGAGAGAGAGAGAGGGAGAAAGAGAGATAGAGCCAAAGCAAAAAAGCGAGAACGGCGAAGCTTTCGTCGCATTCCCATTCACATTTAACGTTAGCATACTTTTCGGGGCAGTTCGACGCTGGCGCTGCGTGCGTGCGGTCTAACGGTAAACGGAGGTCCTGCGAGAGCGAGAGAGAGCGCGCGCGTGTGTGTGTGTGCCAGCCAGACGTTAGACTGAGATACCAAATAGCAGTTAGCTGAAGGAGCAGCCAAAGAGATAAATCTAAAAAAGATAGAAAAAAGGAGCAGAAATCACACTTGCTGGCATTTATCGTTCCACCACGTTTTTTTTTTTGTGCTGTGCAAATTGATGCAAAATTAATAAGGACAAGTAATACACACACACGCACACGTGGAGAGGACTTTTTGGGACCGCGGTGAGTGAGTGTGTGTGTGCGTGTGAACAATAAACAGAAAGCAAGGCACGCGGCTCTCTCTTATCCTCTTTCAGCCAGACCCCCCTCCCCTGTTTCCTTCTCTCTCGCTCTCTCTCTTATCCTTAAGTTGCTTTTTATTTAAATTTTAATTAATATAATCACACATTTGTGTCACAGCCTCCTCTCTCCTTCTCTCTCTCTCACTTTATTTCTCTTTCTTCTCCCTCTTCTTCCCCTTGTTTCTTGTTCCTATTCGTATGACTAGAATTGTGTTACGATTTGTCCCAAAACACTTGCCCACATATCCTGCCTTTGCCTACCAAAAAAAAAAGGAAGAAATGTACGTTTTTTTTCTTTTCTGTACACCACAAAAACAAAAGGCCAAACATTTTGGGGGAGGGGGTTTCGGCGAGTTTTTCGGTGGCTTCGGAGTTTTGGGGAAGTTATAGGCCTACCGAGTTTTAAGCAAGTCACATGGGCTTTAGTAGGTTTCGAGGTTTTTTTGGGGATTAAGGGAAATGTATGTCTTCAGAATAATCGGTTTTTGGTTAAATTATGACTTTTATAGATTTTTTCGGAGTTGCAGGAGTCTCTGAACGGTTTTTATAAAATAATGAAGATGTCGACAGATAAGACCCAAGATAGAGGTGTTCTAGTGCTTTTTCGGGTTACGGTAATTAATGGGAGTATTACAGATATCAGAGAATTTCAGAATATTTCATATTTTTAGGTGGTTTCGGCTTTGCAGCTTAGAGACTTACTGAAGAATCGGTGCTTCTGGGCAATGAAAAACACCAGATCCCGGGGCTCTCGTTGCATAGCTGGCAGCGTCAACTTTAAATTAATTTGTGCCCCAAGGTCCCGCAGAGACAATAAACGACACCGCCCCCCGTATTCAGGCGCCATGTGTCAATCATGCCATCCACGACATGTGCATATTCCATGGCCCCCAACTGTATAGCTCCCTATCTGCTCCGCTCTTTGTCACCATGCCGTACCCGTCCCCACTTTTTGCGTGTGAAAGGATTTCTCCTTGAGCGCTTTTAATGCTAGTGCAGCATCACAGGAAAAACTGCAGCAGGGATGGTGGCATTGTGTAAATCCACCCGTCTGTTGCTCCAGTAAACTTAGGACCGCCCCCCTCTCCCCCTCAGCACACGCACAGCTTGAAAACTTAAAGCCCGCTAATGGTGTTAGCCAAAGACTTTGGAGCCCAGACACGAAAGGGGGACATATAAACTTGCTTCGTGGCTCAATTTTATTATCTCTTACCCCCGATTTTGAGTTTTTTAAATGAATTTCTGCGGCAAAAAGGATACTTTAAAAGTGACAAGGAGGAAATTGTCAGTTGAGGGAAGAAATTCTCATTTCCTACAAGTAAAACACTTAAATGAGGTACATGTACATTAAAGAGACGTTCTTTGTACACGAAGTTTCCAAATTGTATTTTTTTATATATTGCCTTTAATCATTTAAGGTCTGTTAGTTGTTTATTAGCGATTGGAAACCTGAAACATAAATAGAAAATAACCGAATAGTTAAAAGAGAGGTAATATCATTAACTAATATGTATCCTTAGACAAGGTAGTATATATTGAAGGTGAGGGATGCTAAATAATTCGTGAAATAAAACTCGTTTGTCATGGGTGCTTATCGTGCTCATTCATTATCGAGAATATTGCCAAAGGCCATCGAGTTCCTGGGATTCCGGCCAGATGCTCGTGTTTTGGGTGTTGGTTTCCCCAATGCAAACCCGATGTCCGATGCAGGTCACTCCAACTCAAAGCCCTTTAATTATAATCGCGGCCAAAATGGAAAGTCTCTGCGAAACAATTGCCAGACCACAAGGCCATGGGAACCGAGAAGACAAAGCAAATCATTGTTTCATTTAAAAATCACATGTGGGAATAAAGCCAGAGTGAAAAGCGAAATGAAGGAAAATCCGCAGAGAAAACGCCGCGGGGCAGCTCCACACGTACAGTATATGGAGAAAACTGTGTCAAAAGCGTTTGATTTCAATTTGTGAAATGCAATCCGAGGGGAGATTATAATAGGAGGCGCTGACCGAGTTAACCCCCAATCGAAACGATCCTGTGCTTTTCTATTCTATTCCATTTTCCCTACGGTTTTTCATTACCAAATGTAGGGACCCTTGGTATCTCTGCGAAAAAACAATTCGATTTTATATTTCACATATGTCTATGAATTGTCTATGAACTTAAACCATTTTGTATTAGAGACAAGTTTAAAGTATAAACTGATTTTACGCTTGTATCTAGGACTTTTTTTAAAATATTTCCTAAGGAACCAACAAAATAGGACATAACACTATGTAACAAAATTTGGACTTTGTGGTCAAAATAGTTCAACACACTGTACTCCTCATGCATAGCTTTAGACTACAGTTTAGATCTAAAGTACAAACTTTCAAGTGGTTTTGCAACTATATTGCAAAACACAGATTTTGTCAGCCAAAGGTGACAGTTTGAATAGTTTTGCAACTATGTAAATATATTGGTAACAAGCTATTGGACAGTACGTGTTAATTCTGTTTTTGACATATTTTACTTTGCCAAGGGTTATCCTCAATCAAGAAAGTTTTTAAAAATGATAGTTTCTGATAATAATTCTCCCTCGTACCTTTTATTTTGAGTTGTATATATGTTATATTTTAGTATTTCAACTTAAGGAATGCTTTCATATTGGTCAGTATTTAATAAAACAAATTCAGCTATCTCCTTTATGAATTCGTTCAATGGTTAAGGTGCGTTTTCCGTATTCTATCATACCTTTGGTTTGGGATAATCAAACCTTATTTTTAAGCAACAACGTGTACTTCAATTTGAAGGCCTTCTAAAGTCGCTTAGTTAACAACGTATTGTTTTATTTTTCAGATGATGGAGCAAAGTGTGCGAAACCAGACAACGATGCCGACGACGGCAAATCGAAATAGAGCCGCCGGTGGCATAGAGGCACCCAGCATAGCCACTGCATCTGGATCCGCTAATGCAAGTGGCAGTGCGACCGCCTCCGCAGCATCCGCATCCGCATCCGCAGCATCCACCTCCTCATCCTCCTCGTCATCGGTTTCATCGGCCACTTGCTCGGCAACCATTGTCCAGGCGAAACAGCGACCTCCGCCTTTAAAAACGGCGACGACAACGGTGACCACCACTTTGGTGAGCAGCAGCGAGGGTGGTCAGCCTCTGCCACCCACCGCCCACTCGGGTGGTGGTCCGGGTGGGGGAACGGGTGCCAGTTATCGCGGCACCGCCACTCTGACCACGCCCTCAACGCCCCGCATCGAGCTAAGCCGCGCCTCCAGTTCGTCGCATCACGAGGAGGACAGCCGGGAAAGCAGTCCGGAAAATGTATTTGAGCAGGTGAGTGAAGCGAATGCTAATCCCACTTCAGATGGGGCATAAGGTATAGCCCATCAAAAATGGACATAGGGACAGGGTAACAAATGGAAATTATTGTTTAATTCTGATTTTAATGTCTATAATAAGCTATAGTTTTTAGGGGTCCAGACTTTGGAATTATTTGTTTAATAAACTTCATGTCTCATTACGACTTTTGTTATTTACCGAAATCCATATCAAATTGAACCTAAAAATTCAATTTTTAGAGTCAGAGAAATCTATTAAGCTTTGAGTAGAGATTCAAATCAAACAAGAACTTCAACATATCTTAACTACAGATGGAATTTTAAGTTGATTTTTAAGAGAGACACCATTTATGAAACCTTCTAATTGACAAACAGATAAAACAAAGCCTGCCAAAGGAATTCTACGATAATTTCCATAATAGCTTTGTCCCTTTAACAAGGTATCACCTTATACCCCAAATAGGAAAACAAATTGATACCTTTCCATCACTGGTGGGTGGGTTAGTTTAAAGGAGGCGAGGAATCGTCTGGTGCTGATTATTTTGTACTTTGCTCTTGTTTGCTTTTTTTGGATTCGTGTATTTGATTTGTCGCTTATTCCATTCAAACATCAATCAATCGTATCTTAACCATTCTCATTGATATGTATATCATCGTATATATATGTATGTGTACATCTGTCTCTTTCTCTGTCTGTAACACTCTGTGATGCGCTCGCTACCCTTTGCACACACACTCTACCCCCTCCCACCCCCTCTCGAAAACACCTCCGTTACCCCAACCCCTGACCTATAAAACACATCCAAACACGTCCCTGTCGAAAAACAAAAATCCCGACCGAACCACAAAACGAATCCTGCACACAAATTGGCTGTTGATTTGTTGATTTCGTTTCTGTTTTCGACTTTTTGCTCCACCTCCTTAACCACCATGCATGCTTCTTGACCCCCAACCACATCCACATCCACATCCACACCTGACCCTTGCCTAATCCCCGAACGAATAAACCAAATCGCAAAAAAATCAAAATCAAAACAAACCGAAAACAAACAAACTATCGCTCTGACATAACGAACTGCTCGACATTCGACAATTGACTCGATGTGTGTGTGTACTGGCTGGTTTATGTGGTTGAACTAATGCTCTGAAGGTCGGAACTGGCACCCTACAGGAAACGATTGGCCTTGGCTTTCGGGAGGAAGGTGCCCTCGAGCTGCGCAGCTCCACCGAGGAGCTGTACTTCATGGATGCCGAGCAGAAGAAGGAGGAGCAGGAGCGGATCCACCAGCAGCAGCAGCAGGTGAGCGGGAATCTGCAGAAACTTGAAACAGAGGAGTCGATAAGCTATCAAAGCCCACACGATTTTACCAAAACGATCAAGTAGATTTGTTATAACACAGTTTTGGTAAACAAAAACAGCAGCATCGATAAACTAACGAAATTTACACGATAATTCATCATTATCTCGATAAAACCGATAGATCGTGAAATGTCAAAAATAAGATTTTTAATGATTTTTCGCTCAAAACTATCAGTGTTTTTACGATAACAATGTAAACAATGGCCCAATAATAAAATGCAATACCTCGTTGAACTCGTTACAAAATTTCCAGTCGACTGACATTCACAGTTTTTTTTGTAAAATTTTCGAGAAAAAATCTTGAATGAAAATGTAAAATGTAAAAAAATGAGATTTTCAACCATTTTTCGCTTAAAAATTTCTATATTTTCACGATAACAAAGCAAGTAATGGCCCAAAAATAGAATGACATACCTCGTTGAAATTGTTACAAAGTTTCCAATCGAGTGGCATTCACAACTTTTTTTGTACAATTTTCGAGAAAAATTATGAAAAGGAAAAATATGAAATATGATTTTTAATCAAAAACTCATGATTTTTCGCTCAAAAATTTCAGTATTTTTAAATTGTAATATAATGGACCTGTTTTGCAAAATACTTTGCACAATGAATCCTAGATATCAAATTTACACACACACAAGCTACGTTAGAAATATTTAAAAGAAATCAGGTTTCATAACATATTAATACCATTTTAAAAGATACCATTTAGGCACTTAGAACTAACTTAAAGCTTACCATACTACAACCTTAATTATTGACCTTAAACCTCTATAGATTTTACAATAGATATTTATTCGCCTCGTAATATTTTCAATACCTCCCCTTCGACTCTATAAAAATAAATACGCTGTAGTTTAAACACATTTGCGAGGACGAAGCTCGTTATTTTTTCAAGTTGCTTCGACATTTCCTATTAAAAAAGCGGATGGGCGAGACTTTGACGGGGTCAGAGGATGATGGGCTGGCGAGGGCAGCCGGATGGCAGACAGTAACCGCATCGCAAGTTGAATTAATAATGCAAAATTGCATTCGAGTGGCTGGGAAGTGCAGCAGCAGGAAGTGCAGTAGTTCCATCAACGGAAATGGGCGGGATGGCGAAAGGCGGATGGACGAGTAAGCACCGAGTGACAGCTGACAAGTGTAACCACCCAACAAAAACCCAAGTCCTTTGCCATTTCCCCACTGCAGCCTCAATTTCCTCAGTTGCGATTGTTTGGCAAAAGTTTATTCCTGCACTCGGCGGGGCAAAAGTTTGTGGGAATTATTTACAACCAAGTTTTTCCCCGGGAGAAATGAGTAACTCTGTCAGCTGACGAGGCGTCCAACTTATCAATTGCCGGCTCAAAATGGGTGAGATGAGGTAAAGTGAGGTGAGGTGAAGGCTCCTTGTTAATTGCAAAAAGTTGCAATTGATTAGTTGGACGCGTGGCTGCCTTAATTGCTCCCAAGGAGAGCTGTAATTAACTGAAGGTCATTGCCTAAGTGCTTTGCTAATAAAATAATATCAAATAATATTAACCCATAAATAGGTATTCTATAAAGAAAGTATTTATATATAAATTTACATTTATTTTACCACGAAATAATGCTTAAATTCTGTATTTTTCAAACTAAAACTATATCTTGAATTACCAATTATCCAAAAAGGCTTTCACAGGGGAAATTTAATAGCCTATTGTAGCGAAAACGTTTCACAAAAAAAACCAATGCTAATTAATAAGGTAGCAAGTCGAAAAAACTCTGTGAAACCTGTCGAATAGCGAGCGTTTCCCAATGGCAACCGAAATGCAATTCTATCTCCATTCTGCAGTTTTCCATTTTCCACCTCGCCTTTGTGCTCTCGCTTTGTTTGCCCAAGTTGATTGGCAGCCGCGGGTGGAGAGTCCAGATTGAAGAGCCGCGATTGACGTGGAGCCGAATGGAATCCCATGATTGCCAGCGGACCAGTGTCCGCCTCCATTTCCTCTATTTCATGAGTGCACTGGACAAAAAACCACTAAGGCGCCAGTGCCACTCCATTTTGTGCACTTCCCTTTCCCCAATTTAAACTATAGATCTTGTGTTAGGCTACCTTGGAATGTCCTCTTACTCATTTTCAATATTTCTTGTCTCTAAAAGTTATTCTCATTCCAAAATATTCAATTCATCTTTCTTGGTACTTAAATAAAATCTACTTTTGTATATATTATTTTCAATATATGTTTATATATATAAAATATATTAATACCATCAGTAGATAAAGGTATTTAATACAATTTGTTTACCCACTTTCTCCTACTGTAGTGCTCTAATTTTCTTACTTCAACCACCTATACTTCAATGTTATAAACGATATTCTAAGATGGTTCACCATAGTCCATAATCCACTATATTTTTTATTAAATTAAATCAACCACCTGTGTTTGTTGTCACTTTAGATCTGAAGTCCCTCCAAGAACTTTAATAATATGTTTAAGATTATAGATTCCTTTTCCACAATTGGTTGCCATTATTGGTATTAAAAGTCCAGTTGGGTTTCTATCTCATAATGTAGTGTTCCACTTTCCTATCTTATTGTCTACTTCAGCAGTTGAACCTCCACGTCAAGTTTATACACTGGGTATTTGATTAAGTTTAAGTGACGTCTGTCCATGTTATGATTACGCCACTGCATCCTTTGACAGACTCGTCCTTTATTTGCAGGCCAAGCGCTCGTCGCCGCACATCTTCAAGTTCGACGACCACCAGAGCTACCTGCAGCAGCACCAGCGCAAGGACTCGGCCAGTTCGGAGGTGGCCGCCCTGCTCTGCATCTCGGGTCGCACCAGCCGCATCTCGAGCGTGGGCAGCCAGGGATCGGCGGTGAGTCGCCTTTCGGCGATCTCGGGTGTCTCGCGCTCCCCCTCGCCGCACCGCATGCTGCTGGAGACCTCGTTCTGTGGCCCCAAACCGGTGGAGCTGGGTGCCGGGAGTGCAGGTGGCAGTGGTGCCTCCACGGCGGCCAGTTCGGCTCATAGTCAGGCGGAGGGAATGCCGGGAGCCGGCACAGTGGCCGCCAATGCGGCACTCCTCGAGCAACTCCTCTTGGCCCGCAAACATGATCCCACCCAGGCCGTTCTGGCCGAGGGCATCAAGGTCCTGCCCCCCGCTCCAAAGGGGACCGGAGCAGGTCCCTCTGCTACCACCTCGGGTCGTGGAAGGAGCAGACAGACCAGCTCGCTGGCCAATGGTCAGGATCGCATTGAGAAGGAGGCGAAGGTGAAGCAGACAATTGGTGCCCAACGCAGGAGCACCAAGAGTCCCGGCCAAATGGTTGTGGGCAAGACGGCCAGCGGCACGGAGTACATAAGGATCAATCTGCGGCCGGATCACATGTACAGTGACAAGGGCATCGCCTCCAACGAGCGGGTGGTGGAGGCACCCAACCAACTGGCACCGGTCTACTCCAAGCCCGCCTCCCTCAGTCTGCAAGGTGGTCCCATCGAGGAGCACCGTCTGACTCCCACAGCCAGTCCCAAGCCGGGCAGGCGATTTACCAGTCGCTCACCCTCGCCAGCAACTGGAGGAGCCGCTGGAGGAGCAGGTGGCTCCGTCTCCCGCAAGAGCTCCTTCAGTTCCCTCTTCCGTTTGGGCAAGGACTCACCGGATTCGCCCAGGGAAACGGCTCGATCGCGTAGCAAAAGTAAAGAGCGACCAGCCACCGCATCGGGAGGATTGGGTGGTGAGCGTGGAGGCGGTGGCTCCCAGAATGTGACGCCCAGCAAGCAGAAGTCGGTGTTGGCCATCTTTAAGCCCGGGAAGCGGGGCAGCCAGAGCAGCAAGAGCTCGTCGCCCATCGAGTCCAGTGTTGAGCCGGCGCCACCGCCACCACCACCTGCTCCCGGATCGGGATCCGCCAATCGAAGTCGCACCCCGGCAGGATCTCGACCCGGAAGTCGGCTGCGCTACTACGATGAGCCCGTGGAGGGGGTCATCCATATACCACTGCATACGCCGCCGGAGGAGCGGGAGGCGCGCACTCTGCTGCAGGGGATCCAGCAGCTGACCCACGCCGCCCAGGCCAGCATGGATCCCTCGCCACTGCCCACCCACCGAGCTCCGCCCACTTCCGCCCAGGTGGCGGTGGCGCCGGGCACCCAGATCACGGCCACCCAATTGGCGGCCGCCGCGGCCGCTTTGCGTCCGGTGGCCCAGCGAAGGGTGGCCCAGCGGCCGGACCTGGATGCCATACAATCGCTGCCCAGCCAGGAGGATCCGCCCACGGGGCCGGAGGAGCTGGAGCGGGAGCGGGAGGTGCTGCAGGCGGAGCCGGCGAACTGGAGCCTCGAGGTGCAGCGGCACAGTTCGCAGGACTCGCAGGAGACGACGGCCGAATCGGTGGGCTCGGTGGTCAGTGCCCGGGCGGCCAATCTCGCCCAGCAGCGCGAGCAGGCGGCGGCCATGCAGCGACTGCCCTCCGTGGAGAGCACACAGAGCGCCTGCGAGCCGAGGCTGGTGCACACGGTGGCCACCGTCAATGCCCCCAATCCCGATTTGGAGGCCGCCGCCAAGGAGCGGAGGCGTCTGCTGTTCGCCACCCGGCTGGGTTCCGGCAGTCAGGAGCAGCTCTTCTCCACTCAGTTCAGTATTTCGAAGACGGAGAGCCAGTCCAGCCAGCTGTCCGAGCAGGTAGAGCACTCGGGCTCGGAGACAACCGACGGATTGCAGCGCCAAGGCACCGTGATCCGGCGAATGGAGAACTCCACCGGACCTCCACCCCCTCCACCGAGGGGCGTTTGCAGTTCGGAGGAGGAGCAGGGTGGGGTCATGGCCGGCTCGGTGGTAATGCGCTCCAAGCATAAGTCACGGCCCAGTTCGGAGGATGAGGCTGCTCCGGCGGCAGCAGCTCCAGCGGATCTGCGCCATTCGCGTTACTTGGAGAACTTCGATGTGCGGCGCAAGCTGCACGAGAATCTCACGGAGGCGGAGATTGGAAGGGTGACCGAGGTGCCAGGTGGTCAGGCGACCATTCCCAGGAAGCCAAAGCGACAGAGTGTCCCAGAAGCAAGACGTAAGTGGTAAACCCATGGTCACAGAAATGGAAAGAGATCTAAAATCACAAGCGTTTCACAACCTTATTAATAAGATTTCTTCACTGACTTAATCAGCAATCCAAGCCCAACCTTTATAAGTGATTTCAAATCTCTAGAGATTTCTGTTATATTTGTGATTTTGGCTGACTTAGATCCTCCTTTTAGGTGAAACCACTAGCTATAGTTCTGGCACTGCCACGCCCACCACTCCCACACCAACACGAGCGACACCAGTATATCAAGTGGGTCAATCCAAGCAGCCACCGACCTCGGCAACCACTCCCACAACCACATCAGTTGCAGAGACCACTCTACCCGCTTCCACTTCCTTCACGGGTCCTCCAGTCAATACCTTTGATGAGCCATTGGGCACTTCCTACAGGGATCCACTAAGCACTTCATATAAGGAACCAACAGCCACTTCCTTTGGGGATCCACCAACCACGTCCCATCACGATCCTCTGACCTCCACAACTCCGGATCACATGCTCACCTCCCCGCCACCCGAACGTCGTCATTCGCTGTCAACGGATGAACATGAGCCAGTGGAATCCTCGGAGAGTGAGAGGGATTCGGATATGGCCGGCAGCTCCTCGGTGACCACGGCAGTGCCAGCTGGCGGAGAAGCGGGACGGCGGCACCACAACTTTCCGCGCAACGTGTGCGTCATCGAGGAGCACGAGAGCACAGGTCTGGTGTCCCAAGAGTCCTTCGAGGACGAGCTGCCCTACATACCCACCACACTGCCCGAGGAGCGGGCCCAGGGTGTACCCATAATCCCGATGAGAGAGCGGGCCAATATGGAGCTAAAGACATGTCCGGTGGACAGACCACGGTCCACCACTCCGCTGAATCCCTCGCATCTCGAGGAATACTGCACGGGGATCATGACGCCCCAGGAGGCGACTCCAGGTGGTCACCAGGACATCGATGGAGGAGTAACCACTGGAATTGGAGGTGCAGCAGGGGCAGGAACCTCCGCAGGAGCTCCAGTGCGAGGGGAGAAACTAAGGATCAGTTTACCCCGCAAGGAGTCCATTGGCAAGGAGCGCATCCAGAACTCCAAGTCACCACGTCGTGTGTCCAATACCAGTGGCAAGTCCTGGTTCGAGTTCGCCGAAGAGGGTTTGCGGGCCAACAACAACCTGGAGCGAAAGGACTCCGCCAAACAGCTGCTACCGGTGGTCACACCACCACCACCATCAGCACCACCTCCTTCTTCATCGAATTTGGAGGAACCAAAGCCAAAGGTCTCAACCCAACGAAAACTCTCCGGTCATTGGATCGATTTCGAGAACATACCCGAGAAGAGGAAGCCGGCTAAGAGGATCACCACTTTGCCCAAGGAGACGTTGTCGAGCAGTGTGGTTGCCACGGCCACCACCAGTTCCTCCTCCGTCTGCGGCAGTGGTCATCGCTCCGGATCGGGATCCGCAACCGGTCACCATCATCATCATCACCACCATCATCAGCAGCAGCAGTCATCGAAATCGAATGCGGACGGGGGCGATAAGTTGCACTACAACTACGTGAAGCCGGAGGACTGCCAGTGCGAGTGTCACGAGGCGGAGCGCGGGGAATCCTCGACAGCAACCGCCGGAGCCGGAGATACCAGTACGGAGACGGGCACTGGAACGGGAACGGGAACTGGCAGCGAATCGCTGGCCTCCGTGGAGCTACTGCAGCAGGGCGAGGACATGTTGCCACTACTCGATCCCGACACCTCGGCGGAGGGCAGGTGAGTGGTCCCAAGACTCTAGACTCCCTAAAATATCTAAAACCTTCTTGATCTTTTCAGGATTTACGGGGACGAAGATCAGACACCTCTAGTTCGTCACAGTGGCAAGGCCGTCTCCTCCAATCTAAGGGTCAGTAGAGCCATGTTTAATTAAGAATTTAAGAATAAGACTCACAGTTTTCCCTATTTTTTATAAATTCCCCTATTTCAGACCCAACACGAGGAGTTTCCACGCCGCGATGATGGATCTAGTCCTCGTAATCGCAAGTTTCCCGACAGAAAGTAAACAGCCGGTGGCATACTCATCGCATTTCATTTCGGTTCGAACCGGATCGGTTCTTTATAGATCTTCAGGGTAGCTAAACCGGTAATCTATCTCTCTATGTAAGTCGAGTCACTAAACTAAGGGCCAGCGTGTCCTCCTGGCCTATATCCTTAATGTACCTCAAGCTGAGTGGTTGTTATACGTGCAGAAGCCGAGGGACAATGTTGCGTATTACCTTTCGACTCGATTAGCTTACAAAACAAAAAACTCCATATGGAATATACACAAAAAAAAACAACACACTTAAAACATACGATAATATGCATACGATACTCAGTACTATATAGCTCATGAATGTACATGGTTAGGGTAATTTTTTTGATAGCAACAATTACAACACTCACCCTTTATAGCAATCCTGACGCAGGAGGAGGTTGATCGTTTTCCCTAGAAACTTTTCGCTGGCAATTTTACTATATGTGATCTCTCGGATAAAGTGTTATATGTGTGTGGTCGAGGCGCGTTGGACATCCGATCGGATTCTCTAGCTGTAAGTCGGTGTATTTGTGTGTAGTTTATAGCTCAGACAAATCCAGAAACCAGAAACCAGAATCCAGAATCCCTAGGCTTAGTCATATAGTCTCTATCTATATCGGTGTCTGTGACAGTGTCTGTATCTGTGTCCGTTTCTATATAACTACGAGCGTGTGTGTGTGTTGTGGAGATCTATATATCTCGGTAGCACTATCCTCCCGATTTCGACCCATATCTCTAGGAGTCTCACAATGAGACATATGCAAACGATCTATGAACGAGTTGTAATCGTTTTCAGTTGGTCATTCGCAAAAATTAGCCTGATTCATATAGTTGAGTTTGAAGCGTTAGTTAGTTAGTCAGGCCCGATTTACCGGGTGTGTTGTAAATACATAAGTCTAAACTAGATTAAAGTATTCGAAATAAATTGATTTTGACAATTTTTTTTTGCGAAACAAAGAAACTTCGCTTAAAGTTTTTGAACTTTTAATCGAGTTTATTATTATATACATGATTATAATTATATAGCCAATAAACTGCCAGCACACACACACTTGCCATAAGAGAAGTTCCTCGTTTGTTTTTGTTTTTGGGGTAACCGGTTGAGCGATCCGCTGTTTGGTGACCCCGTTCGGTTTATGCGCCCCAAACATCACGATACGAATGCGACCTATAAACTAGCTTCAAGGAAACAGTAGAGGCCCTTAAGGAATTTCCTTTCATACACTCTCATACTAAAAAAAAAACAACACCATCTAGCTAGCCTTTGAAATTCCTAAATACTTTATTGAACTTAGCGGACAACGGACATTCATTAAATTGAAGCAAAATCAAGCAAATAAAATTTAAATTAATATTAATGCAAGCTAAGGAAAACTTATAGGTAAATTATACAATACATACATAACATTGAAAATGTGCGAAGCGGGGTGAGAAATAAATGGGAGCTTACATCAGAGAACTTTACGAGTTTATCGAAGAATTTCAGAGCCCCATAAAATCCCATTAGGGAATAACCTAATGGAAACCTTTTTTGTATTTTTTTTTTGGTAGCTGAAGTGGTGAAGCACAAAATGCACTCGAAACATATACGATATATAGACATAATGACGAATCCAAGCAAGATCTTAATAAATTGTACAATAATTTCCACAATACATTTATGTGAGGATAAATATATATTCAGATATACAAATCTATATGTATATGCATATACACATAAGTTGCGTTTCCAATTTCCAAAACTTGTTCTCAATACTTTTTTAATCGTTTTCGAGTAAACTTTTTTTGTATAACTTAGACAAACCACGAAAATTGTTGTTAAAAATGCATTTAAATTAAAAAACGAAGACGAGTTGAACATTTAAATAAGCAAATGAATATGAAAAATTGTTACCAAAATTTATGGATTCATACGAAAAAAAAACCAGATGGGTTAAAGCAAAAGAAAATAAATTAATAAATATATATGTATGCACTTTCATTATTTAACGTTTTCATATAGACGAAGATGATGATTATGATGAAAAGGAAACATAACATTAATTGAAAACTACTCATTAAAGCGACAAAAACATATTTAAACAAACTGTGTGTGCGGTTTTATCTTGGGCCTTTTTTCGGATATCATCGGGGTTTATCGATTCGCGCCTGTTAGCATGCGACTTGGACATGAGAATTGGACTCTTATCGCAATCTGAGGCTTAAACAGCCCACCGTTGGCAATCGATCATGATTACGGCCATTTAACATGCATATAGGGCTCAGCCGTAAAGCCGCACTCCGATTTCAGATAACGACTTTCAGCGCGGACGTCAAACAATGACCCTTTCAGATCCGCAACCCCCCCACCAACCCAAATAGCTGGTAAGCAATATAAAAATTACTTTTTATACGGCAATTTAACATTTTATTTGCGATTTTAAAATATCAATAACATATAGAAAAAGTTTTTTCAGAAAATATATAATCTTTTGTCGGTAAATTGATCTAAGTGTATAACTGTGTGAATATTTCCAAAAGTTTATTTCTTCAACATTATTTTAAAAAAGTTTTTATTGTTTACATTTGAATTATTAGTTAATTAAAGTCACACAATGACCTTGTTTCTTAACATTAGAACCTAACATTATTCGCCTTGTAAGGGTTAACTTTAATGAAAACATCATTAAAACACCTTTCTCCATTTTCGCGTTTTGGCGTTACGTGTAAACGTGTTGCACTGAGCGCCGCTCTCACTGCGCAGGCGCCCTCTCTTTTATCGACGGAGAGTGAGAGCGCCTCTCCCAAAACCCGTACACGCAGAAAAATTATGACGGAAATGGGTCAGTGGATAATGAACAAAATATTTGTATATATACCAAATTGTTTGATATATAATGATTTAAATGTAAACTAGATTTACAAATATATAAATATTATTTTTCCCACATAATCCTTTGACTTGTATCGATCAGTAATTTTCTGTTTTCAACGATTTTTAGAATTATTCACTGTTTATCATTTTCAGCAAGTGCAGATTGAAGCACATACGAGAAAAGACAACCGTGCGTATGAGTGATATACTTTAAGGACATTGCAAAACGGCCAAAAACGGATTTTTAATTTTTGGTAATGTTGTATAGCTTAATGTCACCAAAGGCAACGTACATGTCCATATCTTCAATCTGCAATGAATATATATGAGAAACCCCACATTGCGTATGAGTAATAAACTTTGAAAGCGTAGCGCAAAGGCTAAAACAATTTTTGTTCACCTTCTTTTCTTCTGTTATGCCATAACAGCATCAAATGGTGATACCGGTTGACCGACTTAACGGTAGCCTAGGTGGTCGTAAAATAGGTATTGAAAGTATATAATATGGTAAAGAAATATTAAAAATTTGTATTATGTGGTATTGGAAACTCCCTGACAATTTCTGCTGAAACTTTCATTAGCTTGTGGTTAGTCATATGATGAATAGTAAAATGAAATTTTATATATTAATTTCTCTCAGTGTACTCTCCCACCAGCCGGCCAGCGTATAAGTAGAGGCGGCCAAAGCGGGACGGCCTCAAAACGAACAGAGCCATCGAACGGAAAACGTCCACGCGCAGCGAATTTCTTCTCCCCCGCAAACCAAACCAAAAAAACGACAAACGAAAAGAAAATAGAAGGAAAAAAATAAAAGAAAATCAAAACAAAACGAAAGCAGCAACGACAACAGTCAGGGAGTTTATTTCTTTTTGTTTTGTGTTTCCAAGAGAGAGAAAGAGAGAAAGTGATCGAGATGGCGTTTATGATGCCCGTGATGAAGAACAATTATGATATTTACAAGGACACGCGTTCTCGCAAAACGTCGGAATGTTCGAATGCGAGTAGTAACGGTACAACGGCTTTGGCCACCGCTCTTGGAACGCCCGCTCTGGACAAACAACAGCAGCAACAACATCAGCAAAGACGTCGGAAGGTGTCCGAATGCAAATCGGAAAGTTTTGCCACCTCCCCATCCCACGGTCAACTGGGTGTGTCCTCCGCCCACCATCGGATGCAAATGCAGAGATGTCACAGTTCCCGCGCTTTTCCACGCAACGCTTCGCGCAGTTCGCACGGTTCGATGCAACAAATTGTGTCGCCCACGCGCAGCAGTCCGCCAAGTCGTTCCAACACCGCTTCCGCACTGGAAAGGCAGGCGGCCGCCCAAGCAGCCGCTCTAAATCAGAAACAACAACCATCTGGAGCAGTGGAATCTTCTTCCAACGACTATACAAAATTCCATTTGCGTTTGGTCGACAAGCTGCGCAAGTCCTTTCGCAAGGATAGCGGCAAGCGATCATGAGAATATCACAACAACAGCAACAACAACAACTACGACAACAACAATGCCAGCAGCAGCAGCGCAGCGCTCCTTTCCATCAACAACAACAATAGTGGAGGAGGCTGGGAAGCAAAAGAAGCAGGTGATTCCAGCAAAGGATCACCTGGCCATGTCTTAGGAGAGAGCAGTGCAGCTCGTGCTTCCTGGAAGAAAGAATCCACTACGTCCTTCAGCGAGAGCAGGATAGTTGATGTCTTAGAAGAAAGTGGAGCAGCCAAAGAGCGAGAGAGGGGCATGGTCAGTCGTTTGGGGCAACGCTTCCGGCGTTACTGTAAACGCCTCGCCACTGCAGCGGCAGAGGACGTGGCAGAGACGACGGCAGAAGTCAGCTCCCAGGAACAGTTAACCGGGAGCAGAGGGAGCAGTCGCAGTCGGCGTCGGCGCAGCAGCAGCATTGGGAGCGCCGGCAGCCGGCTGAAGATGCGACTGCGACGCTGCACTTCGTCGCCAGGATAAGAGGGAGATGGCAAACTAGGTCGAGAAAAAGAGAGAGAAAGAGAGAGAGAGAGGAGACTGGAAGTGAGAAGAGACCTAGGCGAAGCCAAAAGGGAGGTTACACAAAGGGGTCAACTTAACCTAGTTAAGATTGCCCCCCCGGAAACAGAAAAGTAAGTTGGCGTACAGAGTTGTTGGTGCAAATTTGTTTGAGCATAATCTACATAACATACATATAAATCAATTTCGGTGTACATATGCAAACTATTTAAAAATAAATATAAACCTACATATAAATGCAAATTTAAAGTCCCAAATGTATAATTACATTAATTATATGTATTTATGTATGCCAGGCTTCCAAATAGAACGTAGAACATAGAACTTATCCCAAACCAAACCACTTTTTTGTAACTGCGGTTTCGCGACAAGAGGAAAATAGAAATTGCAACTGCCAATTGCATTGTATAACGAAAACCACATCAGCAACAACCCAAAAAACAAGACAAGACACTTGAGAAAATAACAAACAAAATAAAGAAAAAAGAACCACGGATTTTAACCTTTTCATTTTGTAATTGCATAATTACGATGCGCAATTGACAATATACTTTTTAAAGCATTGCGAACAAAAAAACAAAAAACGAATATTAAAAAAAAGAGAAGCAGCTGAAAACAGACTTAATATTATATCGTAAAAAATATACACATATGTACTTGTACTAAAATATATATATATATATATACAAAAAATGTACCTAGACGACAGCTACTTTTAAGCAACAATTAATGTTATTTGTTTTTTTCTTAGCTAGTAATTTTGTAATTACACAAACATACACGGCAAACGAAAAAAGAAAAACTATGAAAAAAAACAAATAAATAAAAAGTAACGAAAAGCTATATGGAAACAGAAAACTGAAGACTATGTAATTTTATTTGCACGCGAAAACATTTAAATGTCAGCAGAGGAAGAGAGAGAGTGAAAAATAGAGAAAACTGCTGCTGCAGCCAAGTGCGCAGAAAATGCGTTTCGTGGGGGACCCACGCAATTAGACCCCCTTTCGCCTTTCCCGACCTTTTTCCTCTACTCTGCATGGGAAATGAGGTATGCGGAAGCAGAAGAAGAACACGAAGAAGGGCAGAAATCAAAAGAAAGAGAGATAAGTACAGTGATCACCGCAAATTGGATTTTTTAGGTATAGTATATCTATAAATAATAAATATAAGTCCAATGAAATTTTGCATGCGTATTATTTGTATTCTAAGACTAATACAAATACTGTAAAACTTCATAACCTAAAAACTATCTACAAAATAAATTATTCGATCTATGGAACTTATAAAGTATATTTACAAAAGGTGTATTATTTTTTTTTTGTAACAAAACTAATCATCATAACGGATTTTAGAGTCTAAACCCCTCAAAGTCAATAAATATTCATTCTTATGCGCACTTGTTTAGACACAAAGGTATCTGACATACCTTACTCCGATCCAAATATACCCGAATTCGAATACAGAGTGTGATGACAGTTTTGCAACCTTGACCTTTGGACGCAGCAGCAACGAATTGAATTGCCTGAAACAATTTGCAATTTGGCGTGTGTCATATTGTTAGAATGGGGTGGGAATCTGAAGGGGGCTTTTGTGGGGACTTGCTCTCAATGCGGCACTGTGTGGCACACATTTCAAATCTGGGCGAGTCCCACGCAAAAAAAAGTTGTATGAAAATTTTACGATTCAATTTCAATTAAAAAATAAATCAAAACGCGATCGAGCGCTGCTCTAAAATAGATGTACAAAGAGCAATAGGCAAGTGGACTTTATCCATATATTTCACGACCAATATATTTGTTAACACATATGTATATGTATGTATGGGCCAGTGGATCTGTTTCAAATTCATTACGTTGCCGATTTTTCAATTTCGATTTGTGTGATTCATGCATGCAGCAAAAAGGCGAAAATTAAGCTAATTTTGCATGGAAAACTGTGAGTACATACATTTAACAGCTGTTCAATCTGAATAGAACAAAATATAACTATATTTGAAACAGTAATTGTGACATATAAATGCAAATACATTTGCTCTCGACTAAATAATTATAATTATTTTTATGCTAGATTTATATTTCTAGGTTAAAGATATTATGATATCATCTTCTTATCTGTATCTCCAGTTAAAGAGCAAAAGATGATAATAGCATGTCGTCTTTTGAAATCAGATCGGTAGAAACTGGAGTGAGTTTTATGGTTTAGTCCCCTATCTATTGGCATGTTTGTTTATCCCCCGCAATTTGCAGAGTCAGTTGTTATCTTTAGATATTGTGTCTGGTGTTTTTTCTAGAACCGGTTCGAGTTGGTTAGCTGGCAGATTTTCAACTTCACACGGCTGTAAAAGCCGATACGCAGTTAGCCAACTAGATATCGGCGTAAATATCGCAGATAGGCTAATGTTATGCATTCATAAATGTCAACTATATGATTTAACAGCCCTCCTTCGCTTTTCGGGGAGATAAATTTTAATATACTATAAATATGCCTGTCCATTTGACTTACGTTACTTACTTAGATGTGATTTCAATGCAACGTAATGCGAGATGCCCCCTGTATTGTCATCGATTATATCACCATTGTTGTTGGACTGTGGTTGTGCAATTCCTATTCCTTTCGCCAATGTCAATCGAATACCGCATCTATGTATCTTTTCCTCCCTATTGCACTTCCCAGTTGTTTTCTTGTTTTCTCCATTGTCAGCATAAACAGCTCACTCGACACCCATCGTCAAAACAACAACAACTTGACATGACTTTGGTCTAGAGAACTCTGGGGGAGGGATCCAAAAATCAAGGGATACATTTATTTGGATAGTATCTAAATTCATTTTTGAGCGTCTTATTTGGATGTTCTTGAAGGCACGATTCTGAAAATCGAGGGATTTGTTTATTTTGATTTTATTGAATATCTTTTCCATATATGTAAGTATCCCGGAAAGGGGCATCATCTGAATAACAATATTTAGCTTCACTAAAATATAACGGAGATCTTCTAAACTGGGGGCATAGTTTGACCTACTTATCTCTATGATCTTTCAAATCTGTTTATTTTGTAATTCCTGGGATCATGGCATGTCATGAAGGATTAATTCTGTTAATTATTAAATACCTCATATATATTTTTCTGTAAGGAGGATGAAAAGTCTAATTTTGTATTTGACCTCGACATGGACTCAATGTTTTTGTTTTCGTTTGTTTGTTTTTCCGACACTATTGTGTTCTCCATTGCAATTACTATTATTCTGACTTCCAGGCGGGGTCCTTGCATTATTTTGGGTACAAATTTGTTCTACAATTTTTTTTTCTACACATTCTGGTAAGTTTTGCCCTTGTTTTTATTGTCATTGCTTTTGTTTGGTTTTCACTGGTTCTTTTCGTAGAAATTTCTTGTTTTTTCTATTGCCATTTTTTCTGTCCCCTGTTTTCATTCATTTCTATTTGCTAATTTACGAATCACTTGACTGGCGGTGAAAAAATGAGGGAAAAAGGGGGCCAACTATTGTGTTTTCTATGTTTATGCGAGGCAACAGGTTTTCATTGGAATTAACCCCTCGCTGCCCCCACTCTTTTATTGTTGCGTTTTTGTTTTTTTGTGCTTTGCGCGTGCCGCATTCAACGTGATGCTAAATTGAACATTTATTGAACAATTTCCAGTTCGATCCTCTTATGGGCGCGATACAATGACGCCAACGATGAAATGTGTTGTTGTGCTTAACCCCTGTTCCACCCCTTTTCCTTCCTTGAACAATAGTAATTCGATTACGTGGGTTGAGTTTTTGCGGTTGGTCAGTTTCGTAATAATCTAATTGCAGATTTGTTTTCAGCTTCTCAATATAAACACAAAAGGAAATCGACATTTTTTGGTCGAAATGCAAAACTCTTTATTATACACATGTATATTGGCCAGAAAAATTCCGAACTCCAAAATACCATGGATCTCAAGATAGAAATAAATGATATCTCAGCTCTAGACTTGCAAATACTTAAAGATTAAAGGTATTGAAGGCTAATTAAGTATGTATATCAAAATTTAAATCATTAGGTTATTAACCCAAGATGCAAAGCAACACAATTTCCAGAAAATGCTGAATTTAAATCATTATTTGTTTGTTTTTTTATATCAAACATCATAAGAGTACAGTTGCGTTGCGAGTCGTTGTTTACGTTTCGTGTGTTAATCTTTTGGCAGCCCCCATTGTTTACCCCGATCTGTTGTTTAGCCCAAGATCAAGGTGAGATTGTATAACCCGAATTCCATTGACGTCACCGAGAATTGAGGCGGGGAGGACCAAGTTGGGGGCTTATCCTGATGCCAGGGGTCAAGGGTGAGTTGAGATGGGTTGATGATGGGCGAACACAAACTGACAGCAAGAATTAGCGACCAACTGACGACAGAAAAAGCGGACGGAAAGTGGAAAACGAGATAAGCGCACTTAAATGTAACCAAAGAGGATAAACATTCCGTATGAATCGCGAACAAAGAATCCTTCCAATTGTACAGTGGAATAAAAGAAGAAGGCCTCAAGTTATTTAAGTCATTTTTTTAATACCGTCGCTTGTACCAATTGCAACTTAGAATTTACATGCTATTATTTGGGGCCGTATCCAATGATTTAAAGATTCGGTGATCGGAAATTAAACCATAAAATGTATATAGATGAATATAAATTTGTTTAATTGCTTATAACATAGACATAAACAAATTGGTTATATTAGGTTATTTTTATAAATATATGTGAGTTTATGTGAATAAATTGTTTTATATTTTATTGCTTAAGACTTTATGGACATATAATATCTGCTCTTTTAATCTTAACATTACTTAAAACAGAAGTATACAAGAACATTTTTTATTTTAAATTGATAAACCAAGTCACACGCCTCTTTCGAATTAATGTTCTCAACGAAATAAACCGTCAAAAAAATTCCCATTGAAAATGCAGTGGAAAATTTCCAAAAACTCGTTAGAAAAAGACGGCGAATGAGAGCAAGGATTACAAAGCGCGGTGGATGGTTTGGGAAGGGGCGTGGCAGGGCACAAAGGACGCAAAGGACGCAAAGGACGCAGATTTCGCTCCTCTCATCGATTAAACAACGCGACTTGCAGTAAGAGACGAGAAGGACCCGAAAAGGACTCGTTATCCTGACCTAGTCAAAGTTCAGCTCTCTCGCGCATTGACATTTACTCTCTGTTCCTCTCCTGTTCTCTCGCCATAAGCGTAGAGTGGGTGGAAAAAGGGCTAAAATAGGACCTACCCTCCGCGAAAACTCATAATTTATAATTACAATTATTTATTTTTAGATGCTGAAAATACATGTTTTAATAAGTAACATTTCCTTCTGCTTGGATAGTTATTTTATAAAAACATATGTATAATAAACATGTCCTTTAAATGTCAAATAATTGTTTAGAAAAAGCTAAAAATTTACCAGTTTATACTAAAAGTGTGCTATCAAAGGTCGAAAAAACACTGATTACAGATCATGGGATGGGCAAACTTTTAAATCTATCTTGTGGATGACTATATAGAAGCTTTTGCAGTAGATAAGAAATGTTGATTAAGCTATTAATTGAGATTTTCTATAAAATGAAAAACATCTTCAATATACATTCACTCTGCTTCTTAAAGAAAGACAGGCAAGTTTCGCAACAAATGCGGTGTTAAAAAATAAACGAAATCCATTTTGCATTTAAAGAAAACCCTGCTCGTGAAGCTGTTAAAAAGTAAGTAATTTGATTGAGTACAAAATTCCTTATAAATTTACTAAAACCTTAAATGGTGTCTTATTTAAAGAAAATTGGTTAAGCTAAAATGTTTTGTAAGATATAATATTATACTCCCTGGAAAGTTATTTAAACTACACCCTTGTCATCCTACTTACCCTGCTCTTCTGGTTTCTCATCTCTCCCGACTTCCTGCCCTTCTTTCCACCCGCGTTTCCACTCTTCTGCTCTCTTTTTTTTTAAACGTGTGGAGACGCACGTATCCGAAAATGCTGAAAAGGAGGAACAAGTAAGCCGGTTTTGCTCCCGTGACCCCTGCGACATGGCGTTTGGCCCGTGTCAAGGACATTCAACTCGCGTCCTGCCTTCGATTAGCGGCATTTATTGATTTCCTTCTTTTTGTAATTTTGTTGTGGGATTTTCCGGCGTTTGACTGCCTCGACTTTCGTTGTTTATTATTACAGTCAAAGTGCAGGTTTTACGTGCAAGTATAATAGCCAAGGTGAAAATGAATTTTACAAAGTCTTGGCCTTGGCTTTAAGGCGGGGTCAGTGATCCCCCCGCCTCGATGGTTAATCCCCCTTACCCATCACCCTTTTCAAAAGTCACCAGGTGACTTGAACCTCTCTTTTGTTGTTGTCACATTTTATATCTTCTACACATTAAGAAAATGGAAATGTAAAATTGAGAAAAAAGCAGCTACAATTACATTTGTTTTTTAAGCTAAGTTAATACTATTTTAACAACAAAATATATCATTGACATATTTTATAATCCAATTCAAATTCGAATGGTTTTGCAAAATCATCAATTGATCGTTAAATCAAATCTTTTTTTTTCTGTGTACCCAATCGCTTTTGACAGCTCGAAAACAATAACGTGCTACGAATCGGAATGCCAAAAGAGAGAAACAGGCAGAGCGAAAGAAGAGAAGACCGCAAAAGGCAGCGAAGCGAGCGCGGCTTAAAGAACGAGTGAGCAAAACAAACAAGCCGAGGAAAAAGAAAAAAAACGACGTTTCAAGTGAAAGTCGAACACATAAACAGAAAAGGAGAAGAGGAGAAGGCGAACAGCAAATTGGTAAGAAATGAAATTGAAGCCAAGCTGCTCTTCTTTGGTATGTTGGCCGCAAAAACAACAAGCAGTGACAGCGACGCCGACTGAGAACCGCTGTAACCACTTAGGGTGAACCTTTATAAACAGAATCCACCCAGAAAAGATTCCTTTAAAATTGATCTTACAACGATCGGTATTATGAACAACTTATGCATATCATATCGAAATGTATATGTGCAGGTACTTTTGTTTTTCTTATTCACTTAAATATTTTGTAATTTAAGCCAAAGATATAAATTAATATCCTTTTGGGAACTTTGGAGTTGTTAATACGCTCAAAAAATAATACCTTATGAAAAATCTTTTTAATCGTAGATAAATTACTCATACGACTCGTAAACCAAACGAAAATCTTATCTTAATAACGGCTAAAACATAAACAAACTGGCTTAAACAATAAATTTTAAAACGATTTAGCAGTCATTCATGCCAATGTAGGCATTTATTATAAATTATAAAAGCCAACACTGCGTATGAGTTATAAAGTTTCATCAATGTATGTATATATTTTGAATTGCCCATAGTTAATAATAAGGTCCACCCTAGTGCATATGCAACAGCGACAGAGGCAGCATGTTAATAACAGACGCCTCGAAATAATTTTTTTCAGGTTATTTCTGACGCGTTAACACGGCTCGGAACCGCTGGAACTCAAAGTCAGGCGCCGAGCAATTGGAGTCCACGGCAGTCAGTTGGCCAAGATCGCGCGAGAGGCTTAGACACGCAGCACTAACCCAGTAACCAGACATTCAGATCGGTCTCTACTAAGTGATCGAGTAAATATAGTAAGCCTTAGCTCGGGAAATGTGCGAAATCGCCACCTGACAGCCCAAAAGTTTGGTAACACCGAAGTAACACCAGTTCCCAGCATTGTAGCAGCCAAAACAATATCAAATTGGTAAGCCTTTATTTGGTGGTCAAAAGAAAGTTGTGTAATTCACATAAAAAGAATGTCAAAAATGGTCAATGAAAGTCAGGGTTTTAGGACATAAAACAACAACTTAAGGGCACTTGTTCAAATCCCATTCCGTCTTAGGATTTTTGATTCCCTGTGATAAATCAATAATATATTTGCTAAAGGAAAAGTTCACGTGTTAATTCCATTACCATAGTGAAAGTTCTTGTACACAAGAGTTGACCGACTTTAATCCATTCCATTAATTCAATTATCTAAAAAAAATTAACAAAAATGTGTAGAAAGTTTCGTTTATAAAAAAGTGTAGGGTTCCCGAAGATATCTATCAATTTCTTAACATTATTAATTTTTACTTTTGTTGTTATTAATTTGTTATTATTATTATATATTGAGTAAGAAAAAAAATTTTTGTTGTTAAAGTTAAAGTTTCTTACTTAATTTCCAATATAAACCAGTATCCAAAGTCTAACTATCATTGCTCAGATACTAAGTTTAGCACTACATTTAATTAAGCTACTTTTATTCTATTCTAGACTGCATTGCAATTCCATAAAACTTAATGACTTTTAAATCTAAAATGATTTGCTAGTTACGCGCGGAGAGTACGAGTAATTTGAGTAAATTACACAAACCAGTTGTTCAGGTGCAAAACAACTTGAAATTTTCGGGGTCACCGGGCCTTCAACTTGGTCACTCCCCTCTTGTAATCGTCGCTCTTAACTTATTTCTTTTCTTGTACCGCCTTTTGCACTAACCCTTTTCCCCAAAAGCCAAAATCCTCTATACTGGTAACTGAACTTTCTTTTCTTCGACTTTGTAGAATCCGATTGCCCGAAGATAGCCGCAGTGAAACCAGAGAATCAACTCGATCGTTTTGCCAGCTATGTCGGAGGCTGCCACGCCCCCAGGATCAGGAACTGAACGAGGAGCAGTCCCAGGATCGGTATTTCCACCTGGTTTCGATCCCACCGCCGAATCGGCAGAGAAGACCCTGTGCTTCCGTGGCTTTTGGGCCTGGGCGGTGCTAATTCTTCTGATCGCCATCTGCGTTTCGGTCTTCATGTGGCTGCTGCGCAAGTGCATCCAAGGTCCGGCCTACCGGAAGGCCAACAGAATCGATGGCAAGGTGGTGATCGTCACCGGCTGCAATACGGGAATTGGCAAGGAGACGGTCCTGGAGCTGGCCAAGCGAGGTGCCCGGGTGTACATGGCATGTCGGGATGCGGGACGTTGCGAGGCCGCCCGTCTGGAGATCATGGATCGCAGTCACAACCAACAGCTCTTCAATCGCACCTTGGATTTGGGCTCCTTGCAGTCGGTGAGGAATTTCGTGGAGCGATTTAAGGCGGAGGAGTCGCGATTGGATTTACTAATTAACAATGCTGGGATAATGGCCTGTCCGAGAACCTTAACCACCGATGGTTATGAGCAGCAGTTCGGAGTCAATCATCTGGGACACTTCCTCCTCACAAATCTTCTACTAGATCGATTGAAACAAAGTTCCCCCAGTCGAATTGTGGTGGTCAGTTCGGCGGCTCATCTGTTTGGACGAATTAACCGAGAGGATTTGATGAGCGAGAAGAAGTACGGCAAGTTCTTTGGAGCCTATAGTCAGTCCAAGCTGGCCAATATCCTGTTCACCCGCAAACTGAGCACGATCCTCAAGGACTCGCGGGTAACGGTGAACTGTTGTCATCCGGGCGTGGTGCGCACGGAGCTGAATCGCCACTTTGCAGGACCCGGCTGGATGAAGAGTGTCCTGCAGACGGGCTCCCTGTACTTCTTCAAGACCCCGAAAGCGGGGGCGCAGACCTCGCTGAGATTGGCCCTAGATCCGGGATTGGAGGGCTCAACTGGTGGCTACTATTCGGACTGCATGCGCTGGCCCTTGGTGCCCTGGGCTCGGAATATGGAAACCGCCGACTGGTTGTGGCGGGAAAGTGAAAAATTGGTGGGACTTCCGCCGATAGAGCCACCACCGTCCAACCAAAATCAAAACCCAACCCAAAACAGTAATGGCACCCAAAATGGTGGTGCTGCCAATGGAACCCGGGAAATGCAGTCCGTCGAAACAGTGGTGGTCAACCGTTCGTAATCGTAGTCAAACGTCCTTGAGACAAAGGGTTCCATCCAGTACAGACCTTACTCTTAATTTATTCTTAATAATATTGCGTGTTTAAGTACCCTTGGGAGTCTTCCCAAACAATTAACAGTCGATTTCGAAACAAGGCCAAGTCCGTTTGTTTTTTTGAGCAAGCTTAAGTCTTAATTTTATAGAAGAAATTCTTTAGAATTATGAAGAGCCCGGAAAAACTTTATACGTATACTTAATATTGGTGGTATGGCCAATAAAAATAGGTCAACCTACTACTAAGTTTCCAAGGGTATTTGGTCTTCGGTCATCGAAGTTAGCTTTTTAATACTCTTATTTTTTTGTTTTATTCTGTACATAATTTTAAGCAAAAGAAAACCCATTAAAATAAAAGTTTAACCTGACATGCAATCCTTTTTTGGACTCTCCTTTTTTCTTCTTCCTTTCTTTCCCATCGCTTTACACCGTACAAAAAAAAGAAACAATAACAATCAGCATAAAGCGAACAATTTACGACAACAAAGCGAAATCAATGGGAACGCTGACTTCGCTGCTGCGTTCTCTGCTGCGTTTTCTGCTGCGATTTCTGCTGCAGCGGTTGCTGCCACTGCACTTTCGTGTGCGAGAGTGTGAGTAGGTGAGGTGAGTAAGACAGGTGAGTGCGAGAGTGAGTGAGTCAGTCAGTCACTTTGTTGGCTTACAGTGGACTAGATAGCGAAATACAACTGGAAAACAAATAAGGAACAGTTTTTAAGGACATATGTAGATGATCACTAACAGATTTTGTTCTGGCAGGTCAATGTTTTTTTTAAGTAGGTCTTCTCTTTTCCATGTCATAATAAAAATATTGATGTAATGACTGATGGAAAGAAGTAATGAAAAATGTTTGGCTTTAACCTATCATATTTTAATGCTCTTTTATAACAATAAATTTTCCAAGTCATAAATGTTGTTCGGGCAATTACACCCACTGTGCACCCGTTCGTTCATCCACATGCCATTAGCATTAACGAAAATCACATAAAGCGCGAGCGAGATGGGGCCAAGGAGAGAAAGGGAGAGAGAGAAAAGCAGTGCAATTAAACCCATGCATGCCCGCGGGGGTCGTTCTGGTGCGCTGGCAATCAGGGTGTGCCAAAAAGTGAAAATCACAAAACACCAACTGATTGCGCCGCTTTTAAGTCGATCAATTAGCGTCGGCAAATCAAAATGTAACGGTGTAATTCAGGCAATTTTAATGGGTTTGTTCTAATAACTCTGTACTTATGTATCTAACGATTAGCTAAATGACTATTTAATACTCTTATTCACAAATAATATTTAAAAATCTTAAAGTTGATCTAAGCAATTCAATTTTCTATAATTAAAGTTAAATGTTTCTTAGCTAATTTTTTAATTCAAAATTTGTATTTGCTTTTGAAAGTGCATACACAGGTGTATCCAGTATAGTGTACATTTGAAACCAAAAACAATCTTTGTCAGTCTGGGGTTAAGGGAAGCCGCTTCAGTTACACGAAAAATTGCAATGGAAATTTCCACTCGTGAATGAGTGTCTTTTGATTGCGTGCCACCCCCCTTTCCACCCAGTCGAACCCCCCAAAAACCCCCATCACACAGCTGTTGCATTGGTTAAACCTCGGCGCCAAGTGAATTTGATCGATAAGAGACAGAAAAGAAATGAAAGGAGAGAAATGCGGGGAAACATTTTGTAAAATGACGAAATTGTGAGGAAAAAGGTTGAACAGAAAAACAATAATAATATGTAATTGGTGGGGTTGGGTAATAATGCAAAATTTGAACAGGTGTTTTCCCGGAAGAACGATTATACTATAATGCCCCCCAAAATACTATAGCATTTCACTTTAATTTGAGCATTTCGAAATGGGCCGGAATTTTCCAGATAATTCTGGTAACGTTTTGATATGCATTCAAATGGATTTCAATCAAATTGAAACAATAAATTTGCAGGCAATCATTGAATTAAAGCTGCATGGCAAAGCAATTTAGAGCTGTTATTTAAAACGGAAAGAAATTGACGAATATTGAAACAAAGCTTTTATACAAATATTTAAATAGATGCTCAAAGATAATACGACCGATATATTGTGTTCTTTATGTAACATAATATTGTATTATCCACACCCCCAGTGAAATTCTAAACATTTTGATGCCAAGATGACGGTGATTTAAAAATCGGGTAGCAAAGACCTTCTTTGGGGCACGTTTTCAGATTTGACTTGGTGCTTTCCTCCAAACTCGAAATTCCAATCGATTTGACAATGGAAAATTCAAGAAACTCGTAGGCCCTTCTGAAGGCAAACATTACTCATACCTATAGCTATTCGATCCGTTCCTAGCCCAAGTAGTCAAATGATCGCAGAGAATCGTAGAATTGTGAAAACAGCCCCTTTTTCCCCGGGAACCCTTTATTTTATTGCCGCAATTCGCGGAAAGTGTACGATAATGGGACACTCATTTTAACCTACCACAATTTCCTTATCACTTTATAAATATTTGTTAATATACCAGCTAGTTATCATACATACAACGTTTAAAAATAAAATAAAACTACGTGGTGGATTTTTATGATTAGATTTATAAAAACTTGTTATTACAATCATATAGGTTCCTATGTTTTATTATACTTAAATTCTTATTAATCTTATAATATAATATATAATATAACTACCAACTTTAGTATAAGTCCATTTGAGGAAATGACAAAACGGAAATTCCTAATACACTTAAATAACATTTAATATAATCTGATGCAATTGACTATTGCTAATCATTCATCTAGATGGAAACGTGATTGCTACGTTTAGCAAAAGTTGTCATAGATTTGCATTTACCCCTGACCCCCAATCAGAAATCGATGATGGGTAACGGAACCCCCATATAGTAATATTTATAGTACTTTGGAACTCTGTACCCTCCAGTGACGCAATTGACTTGGAATATTTAGATTGCAATCTTGGCGCTCATGTGATAGTGCGTCATTAACCCTTTTCTCACTCCAATCAACTTTCTGTATTCAAGTAGCTTCTTGAAGATCTTAAATTTCGAAATACTTTAACTGTAATATACTCTTTGGCATGTTTTAAGCTTGGTTTTTATAATCATTATAAATAGTATGTGTGCATAAAAGTATTTTAATAACTTGAAAGATTATTACGTTTATTTTAATAATAATTTCTACATCACTCTCTTTGCTTTTTAAAGTGATAATGCAAATGTAAAACTTGTGTAATTATGAAAATTTAGCTAATAAATAATGTTTAGTGGGTTAAAAAAGCAAAAACTTTCCATTCATGGGAATTCGCTGAATGATCTTTAATTGACGATCGGCTGAGTCAGTTACGAGCTTTTCCGACATCGCCGATCGATCGTCAATCGGCGATAATTGGTTCAAGGTCGTTTTAGGGGGGTTGTGAAGAAGTGACACGCCCGTTTATAAAAAAACCGCGAAAAAAAGCAAGAAAACGAGAAGAGGGAAAAACAATAAGAAATTGGCCAAACTCTAAGTGCAATATCCACATATAGCTGGTCTAATTTTAGATGTGAGGCGCTGGCGAGTTTTTAAGTGACCACTGATCGCAGCCAAAAGCAAAAATTGCTTGGCGACGTGCCAAATGCAGTGGCGAAAATAGTCTCACCGATTTCCCTGACATCTTCCTCACGACAGGGCACGTCTTTGGGTCTTTATAGAGCTCAAAAGGGGGGAAATGGGGCTGGACGGGGGCTTACTTGCAATCTTTTTAGATATACGAATACCGTATTGTATGCAAATAATCGTATCATTAAACAATAAGGTTTTTAGAAGATTGATCATTTTAATACTTTAAAACGCCTCAACATAAGTTTACCAAACATTAATCTAAACACTATTCGATCTCAAGATTAATAATAAGGAAGCCTAAAAAATTAATAAAATTCTTTGTTATAATTAAACTCTTGTTTGAAAGTTAGCATTATTAAAAAAATATATTTTACAAATGAATCAAAAATAAATTTACCTGACGAAGAAAAAATCACAATAAACACATAATTTTAAGACCACAATATCATTCACAATTGATTATATTTTATAATTTATATACATTTGCTTTTTTTCTTATTTTATTCGTAAAATTATTTTTCATGACCATATTTAGAACAACCTATTCTCTGTTTAACGACAATTTTAAATGCGCGCCAATCTGCCAGCGTTGCCACCCCCTGGAAATTATCGATTACATCGCCGATAACTGCATCGATAGGAAATGGCCAACAAAAAATACCAAAAACCCCTCGCAAGCCAAAAACGCACTAAAAAACCCCTCAAGCGGCGGGCCAGACCGCATGCAGCTCTGCTTCCAGTGTCCACCATCTTGGCCGAAGTTGCCACAAAAGTAAAATCGTGACGAATAAAACTACCCGATCTCGCAAAAAATAAGTGTTGACTATTGTGGAAAAAACACAGAGCGAAAGGCCGCCAAAAAAGCAGGAGAGGATTGCACTCCAGCTGGTCAAGTTCGAAGATTACGATTCCGATTCCAGCGGAGCGACAGAGAGAGACAGAGCGCGTGGAAGGAGGTGCGGAGCGGATTGAGGGAACGGGAGTGGGAGTGGAAAGAGGAGCTGACAAGAAGAAGGAGCTGTCAGCCGGAAAAAAAGCGACTGTCAAATCGGTCACAAACCATCAATTCCCACAGGGACCTACTTACCTACCGCATTACATCCCAGAACCCAGAAGATGAACGCCAAGCGTATCAAGTACTCCACGGTTAAGGAGGAAATCGTGCCCGTGCTCATCCAGCACGATCCCGAGGTGGAGGAAGAGGAGACCGAGGATCAGGAGCACGAGCACGAGGACGACGGCCAGGAGACGCAGTACACGTATGCCTACACAACCACCGAAGACGATGACACCGAGACCGCGGTGGTGACCCTCAGCGATCGGGAGCATGAGGCTCTGGCCAATGCCCAGGAGGTCATCATCGACGAGAATGGTCATGCGGTGACGCTGCAGCAGCTGGTGGAGAACAGCACCGTCGAGGAGGTGGAGACCATCGAACAGGGCGACGGCACCCACACCATCCTCCACATAGTACCCAATATCCATGGCGAAGAGGACGAGGAGCCCGAGGAGGAGGAAGAACTGGAAGAAGGCGAGGAACTCGACCACGACGATGATGAAATCGTGACCGTAGAGCACGAGGAGGGCGAGGTGGACGAGGAAGACGACGAAGTCGGCTCCATTGTCTTCGAGGGCACCATCGACCAGGCCGAACAGGATCCGCATGCCCGCAACAAGACCTTCTATTGCCCCAATTGCGGCAACTGCTACAGTGCCGCTGGCTCCCTGAAGCTCCACATGCGCGCCTGCCTGCGTCAAAGGAACGAGGTGTCCGCCGAGGATCGCAAGTGCAAAGTTTGCAGCAAGGTTTTCAACTCGGTGGCCTACTTGAAGGAGCACATTATGCGGCATACGGGCGAGCAGCCGTTTCGCTGCACTCGATGCTACCGGAAGTTCGTGGACGAGGGCAAGTACGCCGCCCACATGGAGTCGCACAAGCATCAGGATAAGCTGGAGGCCGAGGCGGTCGCCCTGGCCGCCCAACATGGCGGCAAGAAGGTGGTGGTCAAGGAGTTCCAGTGCGCCTTCTGCACCCAAAACTTCACGGTGGTCTTCGATGTGGGCCAGGTGAAGCGCCGCTACGCCTGCGATGCCTGCCGCGACAAGTACTCCAATGCGGAGGCACTGCGTCAGCACAAGCAGCAGGTGGAGGAGAAGCGAGAATTTAGCTGCGAGCGCTGCGGCCGGAAGTTCGTCTTCGAGGGCTTCCTGCAGAGGCATTTGCCCAACTGCGATGGCAGCATTAAGCGACGTCGGGACATGAAGTAGAGGCGGCCGCAACGTGATGGCAACTGGCGGCGACGGCAGCAGCTGCCGGCGGATGAGGACGAGCAGCCGGAGGAGATGGAGTCGTCGCCGCCAGTGCGTTACGTTGTTATCAAGCAGGAGCAGGAGGATGAGGATCAATAGGATCAGTAAAATGAGGAGAATCGGCAAAAGAAGCAGGATGATGATCAGGAGGAGGATCAAGATTCGCCGCCAGGACCACTTAAATCATAACAAGAAGGAGCAGCTGCTGGCCATCTATAGACACACAAAACACCACACACTTACACACGCTTCTTTTTGGGGCCTCAACGTCATCTTCCTTCAATTCCAAAGGAGAGCGTTTTTTTTGTTTACCTATATGCATACCCACACTATTATTATGATTTTTGCCCAGATGGCTTTAAAAGATGGGAGTTGCATTAGATGAGATGATCAGATGATCAAACGATCAGGAGGACGTTGGACACACACGGATGGCGATGATGGCCAATGTATAGATATATATTACTTACTTTTAATTACGACTACTTAATGATAGAGCCCCAAAACACCCGCTATTGTGTAATAACCCCAAACCGAAATGCTGGCACACAAACGCGCGTCAAATCGATGTTGAATTCAATAAAACACTAAATCAAGAAATTTAGCAAGCGATTATTTCGCCCCTTTTCCAGTTTCAGAAGATTTCTCGATTGGTATTTTGTACCAATGACGATATTGTTTTAAATTATGGAAATAATTACCTAATTGTGTCTATTTGCTATTCAAAAACTACTTTGTAAAACGTTCTTAATTATATTGCAATCATCTTTCTATTATTATATCTTGAAAATATATAAATGAAATTGTTTTTCAAATTTTACGAGCTTCTAGTTCACATATAAATATTATTCACCCATAATTCTAAGAATTTCTGAACATAAAGGTTTTTTTTGAACTTAAATTGCGTATCATTGTATTTCTTTTAATTTTAATGTAATCTAACCAATTTAAATGGTTTCTGTTAAAGGAAAGACATGCTTACTTTGTTAGAATTCAATTGCCTACAGTAAATCGATACCTTTCCAAATATTTCCAATTAAAATTTAATAAATAACAAAAAAATACCGTGCGTTTCCATAAAAAGTCGTAGGATTTGTGGCTTTATTAATGAATTCCCTTTTATTAATAAGTCAACCTGATGGGGTTCCCCTTAGTTTAGCTACCCAACCAATTTTTTTGGCCATTTTTGAGCACTGCTCTGCGCCATTTTCCAGATGGACGGCAACGCCCCCTTTAAACAAAAACCTCTGGTAACCTCGGTGCTCCAGGACAAAATATATACACTTGATATTTCAGCCAATCTGACAGTATAATTGGGTGATATTTAGCGCTTAGGCGAGTCTACAAACAAAAAGAGGGAGGCTTTCACAATCGATGATTAGGCTTAGGCATTAACTAATCCATTAACTAGACCCATTTAAGACCAGAGCTTCAAGTGGGCACGCTTGGCATAGGACTTCCAGTCGGAGTGGGCATAGAACTCCTTGAAAATGGGCGTGACCAGGGTGTCCTCGGGCAGGGTCTTGAAGACGGGCTCACCATACCAGGTGCCCACTTCCCAGCCGGGCACGTTCTTCATCAGCTCGGCCTCCTCGTCGCGATTGCGGCGCAACTGGCGCAGGAACTCCCGATCCCTTTCGGCCACCAAAATGGGGAAGATCACATTCTGGGCGGATCGCATCTCGATCTCATCGCGCTTCACCTTCTTGGCGGTCAAGTAGTAGATCCCCAGGCCCACGGTCGTTACGGCCACATAGGTCGCGATCGTGGTGAAGCCTGCCGGGGTATAAATATACAACTGGATCCCACAGATATCGCATATAGCAGCCGTGGCTCACCTGTGAAGTAGCTCTTCGGCGGCACGCGGGCAAAGGGGATCTTCTTGTAGCCGCCCGGCGGTGGCAGGTCCTGTTTTGGGGGGCAATGCGGCACGGCCGTCGCCATGGTGACTCCTCCTGTGGATCGGATCTATCAGTTTACAGTATCCCCGAAAAAATCACTACTTACGCTCGAGTTAAGGGAAAAAACCAGTCGAAATGTCAAAAAAATGAAATGTAGTTTTTTGCATAACACCAGGGCAGTGTGACCAGGGGATGGTAGAGCCTGGCACAAATATCGATGCTTATTCGATACTATCGATGATTCCAGGAATTTAGGTTTTTAAGGTAAGGGTCCCATTCTGTGCGTTTTTTTTTTAATTTTAAATATTGTCGAGTTTTTCACATTTTAAATGCATGTAAATTGAGAAAAACAGAGATTTTACGTAAAACGTGATATACAGGTTGATTTTGAAATGCTGTAACGAATTCAACATGTTGTAAAATTCGAACATACGCCCATTATTTCCCAGGGTTTTGATTAAAAAACCGAACAATTGAACTGAATTTTCTGGATTTTGGCCAAAATAGTTTTCTAAGGGGTACGCTCATGTTTTTTTGCGAAACATTTTTTTTATGAAATTATTTTTCTGTGAAGACAGCTTAATTGAAAATTTTATAACGAATTCAACGATATATGTCACCTAGATGATTTTTTCAGATTTGTCCAAAAATATTTTCAAGATTTTTCAATTATAAGTGATAGCAATAAGCAATTTTATAAGCAATATTTCTTATCTTATAATCGATTACATCATAGTTTTTCAAACGATTAGGTGAATCGATGTCATCGCTAGTTTTATAGGTCCCTTTTTCTGTCAAAATCGCTTACTTCTTTTCATCACTAGTTTCTTTATTCCTTTGAAAAAAGCTTATTAAAGGCGAACTGTTGAAATATCTTTACTTTTTATACGGTCGAATCAATCATGTTCGCCCTGCGTCTTGTAAATGCCGCTTCAGGCAATTATATTCGTCGTTCATTTGCTAAAAAGTCAATTTGGAATACCAAACCGTTCGGTTTCCACCCTTTGCGCTCCAAGCAGGAAGACGATGTTACGGGACAACTGGAGGAGCAGCCACAACCGTCGGATTCCGAATCCTTGCAGCAAATCTCGGAACCGCAGCATTGCGAACAAGTGAGTTTATTCAAAGTAGCCGCCCACGCCTCACACTGCTTGCTTAATCATCTAAAAATGGGTAATTTTATGCATTCTATATGTAATGAAAGCCACAAATTTACTGTAAGCGTACGTATAGATAAATAAGACGTAAGCTTTCTAAATTATTATATTTCAAAATTGGATTTAAATGACTTAAATAGTAGGTTGCAAATCCCACGAAATCCCATAAATATATTATTTATAAAGTTGTAAACTTAATATCAAGTTTTGGAAATTTCACTTTAAATTACGCGCCACATAATGCACTGCTTGATTTAATCTTGCTTGCAGCTTCTTTAGCTGTGAGACTCTGTCAGCGAGTGGCTTAAAAAGTGTGGGAACTTGGGGGTGTAAACAATGTCTAAAGTTAAAGTTTTTAATAAAATTGGGAAAACCACAGTGCCAAATATACAGCACAAATACGGTTGCCTTTTTATTTCCAGAAAAATCTTCTATTATATCGTAGAAATATGTCATTTTATCCCCAGCGTGGGTGTTGGAGTGCCGTAGCAGCCAGCCTTTAGTGTGACCTTGTTTCAGTTGACATTTAAATACCGCTGCGTGGGTTTTAGCGGGTGTTTTTGGTAAACTAAGTAAAACTAAAACGCGCGATTGGCGGGCCATTTCAGTTGCCGCGCAGCTGCTAGACGAGAAAGAAATCTTTTCGCTGAAGAGCCCCACATAAAAAGAACACTTCCAGAAAAAGGAAAGGCAATTTTTTTCTGTGTGTGTGTGTTTTTTCAGTGCAAGGCGAAAGTGTTTTTCTTCAACTCGCAGCCGTAATCGTATCGTAATCGCATTGCCATGTCGCTCTATCGCATTTCCGCACGCAAATTGTCCGAGGCGCAGGTGAGTTATTACATAGATTTTCGTTCAGTGTATCTTCGCCATCGTTTCCCGGGATTTCCATTACCTTTCCTTCCAGTTTGATAACTGTTAAGTGTGTCGTGTCCCGCTTTTGTTGTTAACACCTTCTTATCCTACTCTTCTTCTTCCTCCACGCACGTCACGCTGGAACAAAAAAAAAAGAATTTCCAGCCATGTGCTTGCGATTAAGAAACTTTGTTCTATTGTATTGTTGGCAAATGATAAGTCCAAAGTATGTGTGTGTGTTCTAATACATTACATAATCGCCAAATGAAATTCGCCTAGCTGTTTTTTTTTGGCAACATCGAAATGCCTCTATAAATAAATCTCGGTTTTTTGGGTTTAACGAACTCGTCTTCTTTGGCCCGCCCATTATTTATTTTGTGGTAAATTTCCACAAGTCCGGCTTTAACTTTTTTGGCCTTATTCTTGTAAATTTACAACAAAAACAAATGCCACGGCGCAGAGAGAGCAAAATTAAGAAAAAAGAGAGCAATAGGTAGGGGGGAAAAAACAGAGAGTAACATTTATTTTCTCTCTTTTTTTGTTCCGTTTCCCATGCGTGTCCCGTTGTTGTTGTTGCCAAAAAAATACAAGAAAAAGAAATGCCATCTCTTTCTGTCAAAAGAAGTGTCCGCCGAATGACCTTAAAGCAAAAGGAGGAGGAACACGCCCATTCACCACCCACCGGCAATGCACATTTGCATGTGTGTAGATTGCATAATGCTTACTAAAAAAAAACCGAAAAGAAAAGAATTTGCGAAATGATAATTGAAAAATCAATATCATCACATACACATTGTCGGCTTGCACACGTACACACACAAAAAAGGGCTCGCAGGACGAGCCTCCTTTTGATTTTTGGGGGTGCTTTTATTCTTCTTTGACCTGCGTTGGGTAATATTTACACCGGGGAAAATATAGTGGCCAATCAAATTGATTTACAAAATTTTTAAAACAAATTCTTGTTTTTCCAACATGTAGGATTCAGGAACATAGTTTATAGGGGAAAATCACACTGAAGTAGAAAATATTAAATTCAGCTTTAGCTTTATCTATTATTTAAGATTAAGTTAAAGTTGTATAAGAAAAATATTTAACGTTTCATATTTGTAAAAACAACGATGTATAAAAAATAATAATACGCTAATCAAAGTTATTTAGTAGTTAGTTTCCCAACGAAAATTTATAAAAAAATTTTTAAATTGAATTAACAAAATATTTGTTAAATACATTAATTACTATTAAATATCAAAAAACGTGCTAAACAAATTACATTTGTAAACTACAAAAAAACAACAACAATATCTTGCAGTGTAGAATTTGCCAAACGTTATGCACACTCCCCAATTCTTCTTCTTCCTGTTCTGCCGGCGCTGGTAGCGTGCCAAAAAAAACATTGACGTTGGCAGAGGCGTTTTATATAAATTTCCTTTATTTTTTTTTTGCGTTTTACTGGTTTTGGCTATAAATAATTGTTGTAAATGTTAGACTACATAAGATGTTTGGCAATCGGCTTAATTTGTTTATTCTCTACTTCTTATTATTGAAACCATCCTATTTTTTTAATTTTAGGGAACTGATTAGCGAATAGAGGTTTTTTTTATTAGCATATAGTATTTTAGGCAAAAAAAAAGATACTTTTGTTTTATTTGCGTTTGACGTAGCTTGACGAAATGGTAACACGCGAAATTTTTTATCGCCTGTCCGCTAATACGTCACAAATCGTGACGATTCTTACGTAACGCCCACGACCCTTTTGCAAACCAAAGAGAATAGAAAGTAAAGAGAGTGTAGAGAGAGGTTAACAAAAAAAAAAAACGGAAAAAGTAAACAGATGATCAAGCGATTGCATAAGAGCAAATGCATAATTTATACGCGGTATACACATTTGAATATTAGGTTTTACGGCCGCA